TTATATCTTTTTTATACCTTATATACATGATAAAAAAAATAGATTAATCTAAGTATGTTCACGCCAATTTATGCCTTTATACATGTACTTTATTGTGTTTTTTTTTTAACATTACAATTTTTTTTAACAACTTTATTTCACTTGTATATTTTTGTATGTGGTGCTGAGGATTGAACCCAGGGTCTCACACATGCGAGGCGAGCACTCTACCGCTAAGCCACATCCCCAGCCCCTGCATTACAATTCTTTTTTTTTTTATGCATATAAATATATTTTATAAATATAAAAACCTTTGTTATATTACTAATGCTTTAGAATACTTGAAATGTTAAATCACTCTTTATATCTTTCATTTAAATTTCATTTTGTGTTATTTTTTGTAAACAATGCCAAATAATATTTTATATAATGGGCATAAATAAAGTAACACTGCTACCAGATAATTATATTGCAGTAAACTTCATACCTCTTTGTTATTTTTTGCCATTGAATGTGCCAATCCATTCTTCATCATGCTATTTTTGTGGTCATTTAGAACAAAAGGGTCAAATTGATACTATTGTCATTAAAAAGGATGATATGATTAACTAACGGGAAAGAAGATATCATCTGCAGTTAGTCTCGTGGGAGTATATCCTAAATCATCAAAAGGAAGTTCCACCCAGTCTCCCCCACTATAGCAACATCAAACTTACTTATAATTTTCTTACTCTAACCAGTGGATCTCAATTGGTTAAAATAAGATTGGTGTACTGAGATGAATTCAACCTCATCATTTTAGAAGCAAAATTATTTGAATATGTATTATTTTCATGATGAGTTATTCAATTTTTGATAGATTCATTTCAGAGAATTGGGATATATAAATGTGGAATATGACTGTGTAAGCCCTGAATTTCGAGAATCGGAGTTTTGGATAGGAATCCAGGTTCTTTTTTTTTTTTAGTTGCTCAAGAGAATACAATGATCTGGATATATCATACATTTGATTCAAATAGGGTATGAATTCTCATTTTTCCACGTGTACAGATTGCACTAGTATTGCTATATGTATATACGTGGCTGTATAACCAATGTGATCCTGCATTACAATTCTTAATACACATATATACCACAATTTTTGATTCTTTGTATATGAAGTATGTTGACACCCAGTTCATATCTTCATACATGTACTTTGTATAATGATGTCCATCACGTTCCACCATCCTTGCTAATCTGATACCCTCCCCCTTTCCGTTCCATCCCTCTTCCCTATATAGAATTAATTAATCTATTCCTCCCATGCTCTCCCTCCCTACCCCATTAGGAGTCAATCTCCTTATATCAGAGAAAACATTCAGCATTTTTTTGGAGGGATTGGCTGACTTCACTTAGCATTATCTTCTCCAGCGCTATTCATTTACCATTATGCAGCATTTCTGACATCTATATTTTAGACCAAAATCCATGATTTAATTATTTTTGGAGTTTCTCTAGAAGATAATAATGTTTCTACAAAGAAAAATTGAAAAAGACCTTGATCCAGATCATGTTTTTATACAGAGCAGTTCCATGGGATACATTGTGTCTTAAGTGCTTTTCACTTTTCTGTAAGGGCCACTATTTTACAGAAGAGTTTTTCTCAGTACTCTCACTCCTTCCAGTGAAACTTTCAAGGAAAACTTTTTTTTTTTAATGCACATGGGTTTAATATAAATCAGTAAATGGATCTTACTACATCACCCCTAACCCTGTTCTCCTACCTCATTGGTTATCTCCTAGTTTGCATTGAGATATTTGTTAGCTCTTAATTTATAAAAGTAGCACTTGACTCCTAGAGCCCATATGAAAAGTAAATGAAAAGCATCTTACCTCAGGGATGACTTATAAGACATCTCACTGTAACTGCACTGTTTTCCTTTTTAATCTTAAGATGGAGTCATTTCTAGGTTTGATGTGGCATAATTTTCTGAGATCTGTGTCCATTCCTGGAGTGTTAGTTAAAAACTGGAATATTTGAAACCTGATAGTCTTTTTTTTTGGATTGGGGATTGAACTCAGGGGCACTCCACCACTGAGCCACATCCCCAGCCCTATTTTGTATTTTATTTAGAGACAGGGTCTTATTGAATTGCTTAATGCCTCACTTTTTGCTGAGGCTGGCTTTGAACTCGAAATCCTCCTGTCTCAGCCTCCCCAGCCACTGGGATTATAGGGTGTGTGCCTCCATGCCAATCTTGATATAGTGTGTGTGTGTGGGGGGGGGGGGGGGTTGGGGATCAAACCCAGGGCCTTTTTGTGGGAGGCAAACACTCTGTCAACTGAGCTATGTCCCCAGCCCCTTGATGTAGTTTTTGACATAAATTTTAAACCTCTGCAAAAAAAAAAAAAGCCAAAATTAAATAATTTTTAATACCATTGATTAAACTCTATGTGCCCAATATTTTTCTAAATGTCTACATAGGTCATGTCATAAATGGAGCTCTGAGGAAAAATAAATTATTTTTTTCTAATAAGTAAAAACTTGCAAAAACCTTAAAATAACAATATGGCTTTTGGGTTACAATATACATTTATAATACCTCTGTCACATAGTGCATTTCCTGTTTGTTCAGTCAGCAGATTTGAGTGCCACACTATAATAAATCAGAAAGGAGAGAGGAAATCCTTAGCTTATCTTGAATTTATTTCCCCTCGTCTAGCTAATTTGCTATCAGTTGTCCTACACATCAGGCTGTTCATCTCTCTCTGTCTCTTCTGATCCTTGTGCCTTTTGTCTCTGCTTTCTTCCCTTCCTCTTCTGCCCCCTTTCCCCAAACCACACAAATTTTGCTGCCCCTCCCCATCAGTAAATGTAGGAGAGGGGCTGTATATCATTATCTCACTAGGGATTAGTTCTCTGTGTTTCTGTGTTCAGTTTTTAAATGACTGTCTGTTGGATAGTTTTGTGCTCTTTTCTGTCCACCTCTTTTTTCTAAGTTTAAATCAGTATTTTAGTCACTTGAACAAGGTAAATAGCAGTTCATTGTGGTAAATGGTGATTCTTAAAAAAATAAGTAAATAAAATAGCTCATGGAAGATTTTAGGGTTGGGTATATTTGATGTATTCTTGCAAAGAAAAGTTTTATATACATCTTACTTTGGTTTTTGTTGTTTAGTAAATACTACTTCTGAGTTTATATTTCATCCCAATGAATCCTACATAAAATGATCTTCCCCATTTACATGAACGGAATTTAGAGCTGAGTTCATACCAATAAGTAGTAAAATAACATTTAAAATCAATTGTACAGATTGTCTGAACTCTGGAAAGAATAAAAGCAAAATTAAAAGTGAAAGCATTTTGGAGGATGCTTTTAAAACAGGCTGGTTTTTTAATATCAAAAGATCTTTAAAATGTAGGCATTGATAGGAGATTCTTATTCCATGGAAGACTGTGAGGCAATGGTAATTTTAAGCTCACCCATAGGTTCCAAACTTTGAGAAGATGGTTTATTTTGAGTAGGCCACAAAGTAAGAATTACAGGTGGTCCACTGTTGTTTTCTTGTTTATTGTGGTCCCTGAGGAGAAGACAGACTAGTTTTGAGCTATGTTATCAAAGATTTATATAATATTTTTGCAGCTTGGGAAGCTGAACATGACTTCAAAGCCCGCCTCAGCAACTTAGTGAGGTTCTGAGCAACTCAGCGAGACCCTTTCTCTAAATAAAATATAAAAATTGCTGGGGTTGTGGCTCAGTGTTATGATAGAGTAATTTTGGGAAGAAGTGATGCATGTCTGCTTTCCTTGTTCCCCCAAACTGTATGTCCACACCCTCTTGTTTTACCAGAAAAGATTTGTGGCTGTCCCAGAGTTGGATTAAATGATCTTACATTTCTGTAGAGAATTTGATTAGTTGATAACTAATCACTTGTGGTTATGCCATGGTATTAATGACCTTTCTTTGTCTCTTCTCTCCACCTGTCCAACTTCCTCTTGTGTGTTGTCCTGCAAGTTGCCTTCTGCAGTATTGTTTTACTATTTTCTGTATATCATTTGATGGTTAAATTATAGTTAAAATTTATATTCAGGTATTGAATGAATCTGTGGAATGTATATGCCAGGTGAATTTTTTTGAAGGCCTTAAAGCCTGGGGGTTGTGGCTCATTGGTAAAGCACTTGATAAGCATGCATAAGGCTCTGGGTTCCATCCCTAGTATCACCCCCTACCCCAGATCATTTGTAATCTTGGTCTTCCACTTGGAATTTTTGATACAATAGAATAACCCAGTGAAAATAACCTCTCTTCTTAATTTTTACCCCAGCAATATGATATAGACTAGGCTAGTGTAATCTGAGATGAAAACAAGTGTTGTAAAAGTGCTTCTATCTAGTGAATCCTCAAAGTGTCCTTTTGTTGCCTAGAAAGATTTAAAAACCCGAATCTCAGACAAAATATTTTTTATAGTTTAAAGGCGCCTTGGTTATCTAGTATCACTCCAGTGCTCTTGAACTATTCAGAGGCCTGAGAAGGTGACATGCCTAGGATCACACAACTGGTTTAATAGGAGTCCACCCAAGTCTAGAATTGGCTCAAAAGTAGATACTACATACAGGTTGAGTATCCCTTCTCTGCAATGCTTAGAAATACAGGATTTTTTTTAGATTTCAGAGTTTTTCTGATTTGTGTAAATTTACATAGACTTTATTGATTAAATATCCCTATTCTGAAAATGTGAAATCCTCTGAATTTTAGATTTTGGATTTTGATGAATGTTCGACATCTGTATTACATGCATAGGTGTGGCCTACCATGAAATAGAATGAGCCTAGGCCACTGGTTGTAAATCTTTGAAATGGTATGAAAACATTTGCCTTTGCAATATCTCTGAGCTACAACTCCTTAATTGTTCACTTAATCATTTAATAGTCTCCTTGTGCAGGTGAAGTTCCACTGAATTTGAGTACAGGTATCATTTAAATCTAATTCGCTCTATGCCTTTGCTTGGCAAGTAATGGACATGATCTTGTTTTTCAGCTCAAACTGTCATGACTACACCAAAGACATGGAAGAAACCAAAAGATCGGACCCGAACCACTGATGAGTTGTTGGAGGCAGAATTGGAGGTAAGAGACAACAAATCTCTTTAGCTTATCTTCTGATCATTGGTGCCATTTCAGGTTTGAAGTTGTACTTCTTATAGTACCATTTCCCAAACAAAACTTAATGTATTTTGTTCAGAGATTAATTTTTTAAAATCCATTTATAGTAGCATTTTAAAAAGATTTTTAGTAACATGTTTAGTTTCATTGAATTATTATCTTTTAAAATAAATCTTCTAAACTGGCCAACTTTTGGTTAACTCTTCCCTTCCCCATAATTCAGTATTTTCTGTATATTAACCTGAACGAAGACTAATCTGGTAACCAAAAATGGTTTTTAAACGAAACCGTTAGCCGGGGTGGTAGAAATATCCAATACAATTTAGGGACATTTATTTTAAATCTGTTGTCTTTGTATCACAGTAACATAACTTTTTCTCATGTGGGTGGTCCCTCTTAAAATAAGCTTCACCAGATTTTGCTGTAGGTTAAAACATAACAAGTCTAAGAGTTGTTGCAAAGAAGAAACAAGAACAAATTTAGTCTTAAGGCTTGCCCTGACAATTTTCTAGTATTAATCTCAGCACCTTTAGTGTTATGTATTAAAATTTATACATATGGGCTGGGGATGTGGCTCAAGAGGTAACGCGCTCGCCTGGCATGCGTGGGGCGCTGGGTTCGATCCTCAGCACCACATAAAAAAAATAAAGATGTTGTGTCCACCGAAAACTGAAAAATAAAAAATAAAAAATAAAAAAAAATTTATACATAAACAATCTACATGTAGCTTTCTTCCCTTTTAAGCTAATCTTATAATCTACTTTATAAAGTAGTTCTTACTGAACATTTAAAGTGATAATATTTAAAATGTAGCCATTATTTGAAGGTAACTTTAGATGCATTTACTTCATAAGGCTTTACTGGCTAGTTAAATTTTTATCTCTTCTTTCAATTAACCAGTACCCTTTGTTTCTTCCCTGTCATTGCTCTTACATGGTGCTCAGTTTGTCACAGTTGTTTCCGTAGCAACCACTAAAATGTTAAATTAGGTTTACTGGGATAAGACTTGTCAATAAATTAATAGAGATGCATATATTTGCTGTGCCCCCTTTGCAGCTGAACAAGAAAATTGTGTTCCTTTAGAGAATAAAATACCTTCTAGAGGCAAGGGAATTATATGCATTCCTGGTATGACTACCAATTCATAAACTCATTTCCCTATAGATTCAGCTGGTATTTTATTCATTTTCTTCTATCATACTTCATATTCCTCTGTCCTGTGGCTATCTTTTGCAGAATTGTTGAATGTTAAATGAATGTACCACCACTCCCATGTCCTCAGATGTTCATCCTGTTCTTTAGCTTAGAACTAGCAAACTTTTCCCATGAAGGCCCAGTTAGTGATCCCTGTCATAATTCCCAAAAGCAGCTGCAGACAATATGTAAATGAATTAAATAGTATATCCTAGTAAAATTTTATTAGTGGACACTGAAGTTTGAATTCCTACATCATGAATTTTTCCCCCACCATTCCAAATTTAAAAACCCTCCTTACTGATCATGCATCGCAAAAACAGGTGGTGAACCAGAACTGGCCTGTGGGCCATATTTACCATAAACTTACATTAACATGTTATTCCTCAAACAAGAGAACTTATATTTGTTTGGAAGCAGTCACTTATTTTCTAACCTCATAGTTTAAAAGTAAAATTTTGTAAGTCATTTGCAAATATAGACTTCTTTCAGAAATCTTTGTCCTTTACCTTTCATAAAATAGGATTTGTTAGTTTAACAAATATTGGATGCTTTTGCCTTCATTTCCACTGATTAAGCTCTCCCTCTCTTACATTATTTTCTCAAAAATAACATGTTTCCATCGGGCGTGGTGGCAAACACTTGTAATCCCAGTGACTTGGGAGGCTGAAGCAGGAGGATCACAAGTTTAAGACCACCCTCAACAATTTAGTGAGGCCTTAAGCAACTTTGTGAGACCCTGTCTCAAAAGTAAAGACAGAGCTGGAGATGTAACTGAGTAATAAAATGTCTTTGAGTTCAAAGTTTAATACAAAATAATAATTATAATTTGTTTCAAAGGGGACATATTGGGGAACGATATTGACCAAATTATATCATATAGTTTTTCTCGGGGGTAGATGGGGTACTGGGCATTGAACTCAGGGACACTCAACCACTGTGCCGAATCTTCAACCCTTTTTAGTTCTATTTAGAGACAAGGTCTCAATGAGTTGCTTAGTGCCTCGAATTTGTTGAGGCTGGCTTTGAACTCATCATGATCCTCCTGCCTTGGCCTCCCACGCCTCTGGGATTACAGGCATGTACCATGGAGCCTGGCTTGTTATATAGTTTTTATGTACAAATATGTAACACAAAGTCTCACTGTTTATAATTATAATGCACCAATAAAAATATGGAAAGAAATTAATGTGTTTCAGACACGCTTATACACTGGATTGTTAAGTCAGTACATACATTTCAGCAAGTTCTTCATAGCTTAGGAAAATAACTTGAAGGATGCTTTGTTTTAAAATTGCTTGTTGGAGTCTTGGTAAACAGCTTAGTGGTCAAATGCTTGTCTAGCATACTCAAGGTCCTGGGTTCAATCCCAGCACTGCAAAAAGTAAAGAATAAAAATAAAATAAACCTGGGTGTGGTGGTAATGGTGATACTCACCTATAATCATCCCAGCTTCTTGGGAGGCTGAGGCAGGAGGATCAAAAGTTTGAAACTGCCTTCACAACTTTGTTAAGACCCTTTTGCAACAAAAATAAAAAGGATTGGGGATGTGGATCAGAGGTTAAGCACCCCTGGCTTCAATCCTTAGCATCACAAATATAAATAAAATTTCTCATGAAGCTGTTAAAATTCGTTTATAACTTTTGGGACATTTCATCAATCATATATACATAGTTGCAGTCTGATTTTCCTACGTTTTAAAAACCTCACTGTATTAAGAAACTTGCTGTTTTCAGTTAAGTAGATTGTGTTTCAACAGGTTCCTGTATCTGGGCATGGTGGCGCATACCTGTAATCCCAGGCTGAGGCAGGAGGATTGCAAGTTAAAGGCCAACCTCAGCAATTTAGCAAGACTATGTCTCAAAATAAAAAACAAAGAGGGATGGGGATGTACTCGGTGATAGAGTACGCCTGTATTCAATTCCCAGCACCCCTCCCCACCCACATACATAATAGAACAGATTCCTATAAAGGATTCACATTTGACCATTCAGCTAATGTGGTACTCTTATACTTCAACCCATTTTTCTGAGTGAGCAATTCAGGAATAGTTACTACACTTTCCGACTAGTTTGATAAGAGTTTTATCATGCTGAAAGAAAAATCATCATCATACACATTTAATTCTCCTATTTTTGTTGATTCCCTTGACATATCCCTAATAACAGTATGCCTCAGACTCTGCAGTGATTCTGTTTGCTAAAGTATAATTTGTTATTTATGTGTGAAGTTTACTTACACTTCTTTTTTACAATTAGAAATTGAATTTCGAAATAAATTCTGTTTTTATGTGATTCAGCTTTACAGAAAAGAGGACCCAGTAAATGTTCTTCTCTAAAATACGGTTTTTTTTTTAATTTTAAAAGATTTGAAGTAAAAATTCTACATAATTATGTAATGTAGATATCCTGTATTTACATATTCAACACATCAATTATCAATGATCTAGGAGACACAATGGTGTCCTCTTGTGGTCCCCGCTACTTGGGACACTGAAACCATTGCTTGGGAGCAATGAGATTGTTGAGTCTGCCAGGAATTTGAGGCCTCTCTGGGTAACATTGTGAGAACTTGTTCAGGGAGGAAGAAAAGATTTTCTTGATGACTTGTTCTTACTTATAAAATTGTATTTCTAGGTCATTATGGGTTCATTTAGACTATATTACAGTATAAAACGTTTGTTTTTTAATGAGGCTTCTGATTATGATTCAATTTTAGTAGACCTGTTATTCTCAAAGCTTAAAAGATGCCTCCTTTCTGCCACATTTTATAAAATCATTGCCAAACTTAATTTTCTTGGAATTTTACATCTCTCTCTCTCTCTCTTTTTTTTTTTTTTTTTTTTTTTAAGTTTCCATGTACTGTCCCTGTCCATGGTTGTGCATTTATGTTTATCTACATTTGCATAGACTTTCCTTTTCCATTATCTATCAGGGCTTGAAAACATCTGTTTCTAAAAATAACATTTTAAAATTTAGTATCTTTGATCCATGAAGAAGAAAATTTACTAGTATTACATCTGTTGTAATACTTCTTTTATGTAAGCAAGTAGGATTTTTCACTCAGACTTTAAAAAAAATAAAATAAAACATGATTTCATAAATAGTTTGGATGAACACCTGCTGGCATTACCTTTTAAAGACTTTAAACTATCCCCACGCTCTTCATTTCCCAGCTAGAGGACAACATACTGTTTTACGTAGGGTTGTGTTGAATCAGTCCTGATTTTTTGGCTCTTGATCTAGTATGGAGTTACCAACTGGGATTTCTCTTTCCTCAGTGCTAATTTCAGAGGGTTATGTTCAGAGTACCAACCTTCATGAAAAAAAAAAAAAGATTTAAATTTCATATAGAGCTTTATCCCAAACAGTTTTGATGGCTCATGAGAACCTTAGAAAGTCATTTTGTTTGATATCTGACACCAAAATAGTAAAAAATAATATGAGGAATAATTTTAATTCTTTTTTTGCCTGTAAAAATAGATTTCGTACTTCAGAAACCAGATTTCTCTCTACAGATTTGTATTCTCAGCTTTTCCCCCCACGTTATAGCCTCAGCGAAGACTGAATCAATAAGAAAAATAGATTTTAACCAAAAAGTGTCTTCCTTATAAATGAGGTGTGATTACCTTTTAAAGACTTTAAACTGTCCCCACGGGCTCTTCATTTCCCAGCCAGAGGACAACATAAAATATACTCTCTAGTGTTTCTTTTTATATTTGCTGAGCTTCAGTGGCATGAGGAGGAGTGCTTGTTTTAGATCTCTGACTAGGACTCTCATGCTCATCAACTTCCAAGGATTAGCAGTTCTTTCTGTTCTAACTTTGATACATTTGGATTTCCTTAGTCACATGTGAAAGCATTTCAGTAGCCATTTGAGTTGTCTGCTCTATCCCAGATGATGAAATGTAGAAAGATTTTTTTTTTTTTTAAGTTATAATTCTAGTGCCAAATGCTGAACACAGACATTGTTATCTGGAATGACATGCTCTTCTAATTTTTGAGGATGTAGATGTAGGGCTTTATGTATATTTTCACATACGAATAAAAGGTAACTTCTGTGTTCACTTATGCTTTAGCCTAAAGCTGAAGAGCTTTCAATTGACAGAGTACTTGAATCTGAACAAGAAAAAATGAGCCAAGGGTTTCATCCTGAGAAAGACCCCTCTGACCTAAAAAAAGTGAAAGGTTTAGAAGAAAATGGAGAAGAAGCTGAGCCTTTGCGTAATGGTGCTGAGAGTGTTTCTGAGGGTGAAGGAGTAGATGCTAATTCAGGCTCCACCGATAGTTCTGGCGATGGGATCACATTCCCATTTAAACCAGGTAAGTTCACCCCTCCCTGCCTTCCTGTGTACCTCTTTCTTTCTCCCTTTTACTCTGCTGCCTCCTCACAGACACTGGATGGAGGAAGAGGCTTAACACAGTGTTATAGATTAGTGACTAGCAAATCCAAAGAGTTCTACACTGCAAAAATGATATCTGATGCTGGTGCTCCAGGAATTTTTTTAGCATTGGAAGCACCTCTGGGAGAGGGAATCCGTCAGTACCAGGCTGTTGGAATTCAATTAAAAAAAATTTAGTTTTGTTTTAAATCAAGGGGCCATTATAGATATGACCACGTTCCTTGACTGTCATTTCATAAACTTTGAACTTGCTTTATTGACAGAAATCACTCTGTAGAACTGAACTCTGACATAAATCATCCAGAAAATATGACTTAATTATTGAATGCCTGTATTATGGCAGGTGAAATGTGTGGAAGCACTAAAGGACCCTTCAGCAAACCATCAAATAAATGTATCAAACTTGTGCTCTAGGCTGGGAGTGTGTAGCTCCATGGTAGACCATTTATGTAGCATGCATGAGGCCCTGAGTTTGACCTCCAGCACCACAAAAACCAAACTAACAGCACTAATGTCCTCATAATCTGTAAATCGTGATTAACTTTGAGATATATGGAGAGAGTTAGTATGGATATGTGGGGAAAGGTGATTGGAAAAGATGCAAGGTTTCTCTTATTCTGTCAGTTTTACGGTAAATTTGGCATGAGGTAAGATTTGATTGTAAATGTACTGGCCCTCTAAAAAATTAAAGTGCTTCAGTTGTGGGTCATAAAGTCATTATATCTGTTACTGTGAATTATAAGTGAAATTTTTGAAAATCATTGATTTATATGTAGAACTGACAGAATAAGAATAAAAAATCATATACTGATTTTTTTTTCTACCAATAAACTCCCCTAATGAATTTTAAGAAATTATAGTTATTCTCCTATTTCATCCCATTTTTAGGAACTAGTAGACCAAAATAAGTTTTACGTAGAATTTTTAATTTTTTAACTGTAGGACCCACTGTTTTGAAATTGCTTTTCGTAATCTAAGCTTGTACCAGATCACCAAGCACTTGTAGCCACCAATCCTTCTTCAGGAAATTGAGAGAGTATTGCCGTTTTTAGGATTGTATGAATCATACTTTTGTTTTACAGGGAAAGGTACACAGTTATGGGCCTCAACTATAATTGACTGACTCTCTTTTATCCCTATAATACAGTACCCAACAACAAAATTTGGATAAAAAACAGTTTAAAATTTAGAACCTGAGGAGCTATTAGCTTTTTAATAAATAAGGTAAATAGGGTTTGGGTGAAAATATCTGCAAAGCCAGGCACAGTAGTGCATGCATGTAATCCCAGCAGCCTGGAGGGGCAGAGATAGAAGGATTGTGAGTTCAAAGCCAGCCTTAGCAACCTAGCGAGGCCCTAAGCAGCTCAGCCAGACCCTTTATAAATAAAATTTTGTTTAACAAAAAATAGAAAGAAAAGAAAATATCTGGAAAATTCTCCCAAAGCATTCATGGGTATATAACTTACACAATAGAAACCACTAATATAAAGAGAACCTGGTTTGCTATCATAAAGTGATCTGGAGTTTTGCCAATTAAAGAAAAAAAAATCATGGCTTGCTTTTATCATCCAATAAAATTTTATATGGAAGTTCTCCAATTTTATATAATAAGAATGGGGTTAAATAGAAATAGCTAGTACAGTAGCATAGTATCAAGGTAAGTGCTATGCCAAAAAAACTGTTTTAAAATTCATTTAAAAATATTAGTTCAGAGTACTTTTAGAGTCAGGATATTTTGAAAAGATACATACATTCTGTTTCCAGGTACTTTATTTTCTTCTTATTAAACCACACGCAAGGATGAAAATTGGCTCAGTGGTGGAGCACTTATCTAACACAGGATAGGGAGGAGCCCTTGGTTCCATCCACCCTCCCCCACCCCAAAGCAAAAGCTACTTAGATGGTTCGTTATCTTAAGGAAGTTTTTTGGTTTTGTTTCGAGTTACCTTTTTCTTTTCTCGAAAACATTTCCAAGTAAATAGCTAAAGTACCTTTGTTTTTCATGAAGCCAAGGGTTGTGCCAAATTCCTTATTTCTGACATATCTAAATGATTGTTAGTTGACTTAATGAGCATTATTATATGTCCCTGACCAAAAGTTGATTAGTGTGGATGTATTGAAGTAGTTTCTGATGGCTTCCAATTATTTTTTTTTATCCAGAGGTATCCAGGAGGGTTGAAAACACAATTGGTAGTTTAAATTTTTTACATGGTATTTTCTGACTATAGTTCAGTGTTGCCTTTGGTTTTTGTTTGCTTGTTTGTTCATGAAGAGATAAATGTTGGAATCTGGTTTGTACAAACAGTTTTCTGCCTACATCTGTCCCTCTTTTTAGAATCCTGGAAGCCTTCTGATACTGAGGGCAAGAAGCAGTATGACAGGGAGTTTCTGCTGGACTTCCAGTTCATGCCAGCCTGTATACAGAAACCAGAGGGCCTGCCACCCATCAGTGATGTGGTTCTTGACAAGGTAAGCTGCATTCTCTGAGAAAGGTAGGTCTTTGGGTGGAGCTGGTTTTAACTATCGGTGTAAATATGTGAAGATGTGAAGTATAAGCAATTTTTAGGAACTATAATACCAAAGAGCATTTGAGTAAAAATATATAATGTTTAAGAATTAGAATTTCCCAAAGCATTGTTGGATTTTAGGTTAGAGGCATGTTGAAATCGACATTTGAGTGGTGATTTTTTAAAAAATTAATTAATTTGTCTGCTTATTATGGCTGTTTCCTAGTAATGTGGTAAAAATTTTGTGGTTGTTGGGGGAAACATGACTAAATTGACACAGAACTCTTTCCCCACTGTTCTAAAATTTTATTATGTAATTCTAGCCTCACTGAGGACAGGTCAGAAACCTAGAAAGGTACTTGGAAGAGTAAACTTAAGATGGGAGTCAATATAGTTCAAATAAGGTGTATCTCAATTTTTTCCTTAGTGATTTAAGCCTCCAGTCCTGTGCAGATAGATAGGCATCCTTCCTGATTTTCTGTATGAATCATGGACTTAATGGATGCAAATAAAAATTAGTACTGTCAGTGTTGTTTAGATTAAAAGGAGTAAAATGGGGTGCTTAAGTAATTTCATAAAAATCAAAGATGAACCAGTGCTGCTAAAGAAGTTTGAAGGTTTGGGTTTTTTTTTTTTTTTTTTTTGGTTGGTTTGTTTGTGTGTTTATTTTCATTTTGTGGTATTGCGGATCAAACTTAAGGCCACAAGCATGCTAAGGCCATAAGCATGCTGGGCATGTGCTCTACCACTGAACTGTAACCCCAGCCTCTGAACTATGCTTGAAGAGGAACTTTTATCCCTCATAAAAATATTAATTTTCTTATAGATTGAGATATCTGCCCTTTATGCAGCATCTGCTATTTTGACCTTATTTATATTATTTTCCTTTCCCACAGTAATAGGTCTTCTTATATCTTTGTCTGTATCTAAGTGTCCTCTCTTAGGTACCTGTGTGAGGATAGTTGAACAATTAGTGGTACAATTCAGAGGCTTCATCATTATTTCAGAGTGCCGGTGTTGTATTCAGTTTCATCATGCTCTTAGAAAATATTTTTGCCTGTCTCGCCACCTTATTTTTCTCTGGCTTTAGCCATTCATTAAATGATTTTTCGCTGAGCTACTTAGTTTTGCTGACTCCAAACTCATGTTATATGCTTAATCAAAGTCAAATATCTCAGTTTAACAAGGCAGACAAAATGAAATTTTTTAAATGGGTTTCACATGAAACATTTCTCCTTTGAGATTTGTCTACTCTCTGTAAGTGAATTACTAACCTTAAAATGACAGCATCAAAACCAAAATGAACAATAGGAAGATATCTAATAGGCCATGCTCTGACATCCTGGTGAATATCTTCTAAAACAAATTTCAAAATTTGGCCGTATTTCAGAAGATCTCAAAATACCTTGCTTGTTTTATGTCCTTCTGTGGTTCTCTGCCATTAACTGATTGTGTGTAGCCTTAATCAGTCCCAGGACACAAGAACACTGTGTTTGCCCTGTGGCTCTGGAGCTAGCCCAGGAGAAGCTGCCATGGGTCTGGTTGACAACTTTTTAGTCAAAGGTTTTTGTTAATTCTTTAGCACTGAATGCTCTGAAACCTGTTGTAAGCTTTGTTTTTCCTTCATGCAGATCAACCAACCCAAATTGCCAATGCGAACTCTGGATCCTCGGATTTTACCACGGGGACCAGATTTTACTCCAGCCTTTGCAGATTTTGGAAGGCAGCCACCTGGTGGAAGAGGTGTACCTGTAAGTGTAAGTTCCCTATAGTCAAAATTAGTTAGAAAAACTTTCATAGATTCCATAACATCTTGTCTAATGGCAAGACAGAGTGACTGATTATTAGTAGCTGATTCCTGTAATAGAGGTGAAGACAGTCCTCTCTGTATAATTATTAAAGTAAATAAATACACTTGAATCATTTTTACTTGAAAGAAACTGGTCTGCATTAATTTGATCTTGGTTTTCTTTTTGTGTTTGTTTCTTCATATTTATTCCATTGAATTGACTTACAAATATTTTTAAAAGTAGACCAACCTTTGATAGCATTCCTGTTTTGTTTTCAGGTATCCTGGTATACTGCAGATCTCTGATGACATTCAGTAATGTTCATCTCTTTGTCTTTGTTTCTACAGATTTGCAAAGTGCAGAGCAGGCACGGATTGCCAATTCTGGAACAGAGCAAAGCCCCAAGTTGCACTCCACTGGCGATTGCACACCCACCCCTGAAGAGCCTGCCTCTAGGGGTGCGCTGAATCATTTTTCTTTTTTAAATGATAGCCTATGGTGTTATAATATTTTTCATTTTGCTTTTCTTATTTACTTTAGGTTGTGAAGTCAAAATGTAAACAAATAACATCTATAAAAGACTAGTATTGGTAAACTGCAGATTGCCATTGCACCCCCAGTGGCAGGCTCTTCAGCGGTGGAAGTGGCATCACCAATGGACTTATGCTGGGGCGCTGCACTGTGCAGGATTCGGCAGACACTGCCTACTCCATGCTTTGTAGATTTGCAGAAAGCATGGGGGAAAGTTGCCAAGGACATGACTGTGTCATTTCCCCTAAACTAGAATAGCAGAGGGTGCACTTAATCCAAAATCTGAATTAACTCAGGGTTTCATGTGTATTTTGAAGAGTTCTCTTTTAAGAGAACTTTATTCTGTGCTTGTATAAATATGTTTACATAAGGTGACACTTTATTTCCTCATCACCTTTTTATTTCTGTAATGGCAACTTTTGAAACCTGCTTCAGAATAAGACTGCACCATGTGAAAACAAATGTCATTTTGTGTATATTTATTTGCCTGAAGCTAAATACTTATTCAAGGTACTTGAATGCCTATAGCATGTTGGAGGTGCTACAGAAAATTTCCCTGATCTGGAACATATTGTTTATTGAGCATCACCATCTCAAAGACTTCCATGTGTGTGAAAATCTGTTCACACACAGGTTCAAGGTGTTACCTTTATCTATTTTTTATAAATATTAATTTTTTTTTTTTTACAGCTTGAATTTCCTCACCAAAATGTCTTAGAAAGCAGCTTTCTAAACTCTTTTATAACCTTTTTCCCCAGCACTATTTCCCTTCTTGATAATTTCAAATTATATTTGCATTACCTTTTATTCTGGTTTTGGTTTATAACATTGTTTTGCTAACATTTGAAATAATGTTCATGCCATTTTTGTTATTCTCTAGATTATAGCATCTGTGGTTACTTAAAATTGCTTTGTTCATGCCACTCTCAGAAGGTATGAATTACTGTGTCTCTTCTTCCAGTGTATATTGGCACTTACTTATCATTACTAGCGTGCTATTCATTGTTTTTCTAGTAATTAGTTATAGCAAAATGGAAATATCAAGAGTTTAATAAGCTGTGTATTTTAAAATATAGAAAGTACAAAGCTAATTTTAAAACCATGTCACACTGTGTACTTGACCATTCATTCTTATTCCTACATATGTCAGGCGAGTTATTCTGATGCATTCAAAGTAATGTGACTGAGAATAAGATATTATCTAGAATTTCTAATGTCTCCCCAAAGATCATTGTTATTTAACTAGTTTTCTATAAGTAGTTTCATTACATGTCAAAAGCTAGTTTTTATGGGAAATTTGGATCTCTCAGGGTGGTATTGATAATACAAACATTAATACAGTAGTTACACTTCTAGCCTTTCCTGTAGCTAGCAGACATTCTTTACTTAATTTGTTCAGCTCTCCTTGGTGTGTTAATATAGTTCTAGATGTTCACATCATAGGGCATAAATATCTTAACATATAAAGGAGCAAAAAATAATGCTCTTTGGGGAAAAATAAATAAACAGCAGCCCAGCTCTTTGTAGTTTCTGGTTCTATACCTCTGTCATTTTCACCAGGTATCCAAATTGGCTTATGATTAATTACCATCCTAGCATATTAAAATCTGTTAGATATGCTCCATAGTATGGCTTAAGTATCTATGACTTGTATTATAAACATTTCTGCAATAGACTTACTTATTACAAAAGAGTTTTAATGTACAGTAATTGTTTTAAAAATATTATACAGATGTGCAGATTCATACAAATTTTTATAAGTATTCCTTGATGGACAGTAAAGTGCATATCTGTTGGAAATACCCAGAAGGATCATCTCTATAGGTTTTGTTAATCAAATTGTTTGGCAGTTTTGATGTTATTTTAATAGTATTCTGTTTATAGATATCAGAGAAAGGGCTCCAAAAGAATTGTCTTAAGAGGAACTATGGACCTTGTTTAATAAATTGCCATTTGTAATCATTTTAAGTACCCTTGAGATTAACTGATCTGTTATAAAAATCCTAGGAGCCAAGAAGTTCCTGTATTCATATAATCTCTCTATAAAGGAACACCTGGTTACTGTCTTTGAAAATAGAGCAAATGATTCTGTTTTCTTTGATTATTCAAGTAAGCAGAGGAATTTGTAGTTATAATCTCTAAAAGACATAGAAGCAATGAATATTAAATTCTAAAATAGATTTGTATATTTCTTATTTAATACATTTTTTTAAATTTAAAATTAGTAAAAAAAAATTAAACTTGTAGCTCACCTAGGGGAAAAAAAAAACAAACAACTCTGACTTTAAATTAGTCAACCTCAAATTTTGACACTTTAGTTATGATATTTGTGGACTTCCAGTACAATGTACATAAAGTTCCTCTTCTGGTCCATCAGTCAGGATTGTCTGTCCTTCAGGCAGGAAGATCAGATATCATTTCATTTTCTATACCCCATAACCCCAAAGCAGGGTCCCAGTTTTGTGTGTGTGTGCGTGCGTGTGTGTGTGTTTGGTAATAAGTCATTCATCATGTGGTGCTTCTTTTGAAAAATACTATAAATCTGATGACTTGTATTGTTTTTTTCTCATTCAAAAAAGACACATAAGGGCTGGGGTTATGGCTCAAAAGAGACAAATATTTAAGTCCACTTGTCACTTTTTTAAAGAAAACCCTTTTGGTTCTTATTGATGATTGATGATATCTTGTATAGTTTTGAGGGGTTGTTTTTGCGGTGCTGGGGGTATCAAATGCAGGGCCTTATGCATGTTAAATAAGCATTCAACTATATCCTACCTGTCCTTGCACAGTTTTAAGGTCCTTTTACATACCTTGTATCCTGTAATCCTCAGAATAACTTTTTATCAGTAAAACAGACCTTGTATTTATGAGAAAACTTAAAATTCAGCAGTTAAGAAACTTGCCAACAGTAATTTTGCTCATAAGTAGGAGATTTGTATTCATGAGTCTGGTTCTTCTGTCTCCTAATTCCAGGTGTTGGTATTCCAAACAGTGACATTGTTCCCACCCTGAAAACGTGAAAGAATTGGAGATTGATTAATTGTACATATTAAGGATTTTAAAACATAGTAAATGTTTTTAAACATTTGAGGGTTCAAAATATATACATAAATATTTGTGAACCCAGTTTATCGTATATTTGTACAGCAATACAAATATCATTTTTAAATTTATCATGGGAACTTGCATGGAACTTTATCTTGGACCAACAACTTGCCAGTTAGCCTTTCAAATCTATCTTTTCTTTGAAGCATTATTATTATTTATTAATATTTCTCACTTCTGTATTGCCCACTTGTAAACCATACATATTTATCTTGGGACAGGTAAAGGAATAAAGCATAAATAATCTCTGTCACTTTGCAGATTAAAAGCTTGACATATTCATTGGCATTTGCTGTAATTTTTGGAAATGTACACACAGTGACTCTTACATGCTTTTGAATTAATTTCTTTTCCTTACGCCCAGACACATTTGTATACCCACACACATTTATGTGCAAGTATGAAAATTGAATGTGTTAAATTGTTTGCCTGAGCTGTATCATCCTAGCATTGAAAGAGATATTAACCCATACAAGTCAACATATTAGAGTATAACATGGATTATAAGAACCAGACAGTACTTGGTTTACTGCAATTTTCTTTAAAAAATTGTTTGATCTGGACTACCAAATCAAAGTTGCAGTTACAAATAAAAGTTCTTGTGGTGGTACAATTAGGGTTAGCAGCTGTTACCTGTTTGTATTTTTTTAGTTTTTACCGACTTTCTGTAATATCATTTCTGATACCTCTGTGTTTAACTGATCTATTTTTTTAATGTTCACTAAAATGTATTAGATCATATTATCTTTACTATGTTCTTAACTGGATATATTTGACAAGATTGGTGTGAATTCCCCAGAAGTTCTAACTTTTGATCCTGATGTGTCTCTGATGTTACTATTTCTAATTAGTATAAGAGAATAATTTTGAGAGTAAGTGGTATGTAAAGGATTTTATCAATTTAAAACTCATACCAAGCTTTCTTTTTATATAAAGCATATTAATGAAGTCTATACTTAATTTGAAAAGGGCAACATTGGGTCATTAAGTAAGATATGATACTGGTCTGTGCCTTGTATGAAGATTATTTTCCTTTCCAATGTCAATATTTGCTCAGCATTTAAAGTAATGTATCAGAAACAATAAAGGTCATCATCACACAACAACACGTCTGAGAGGTAACAGGGCTTATTAGCATCAACCCAGTGTTTTATTTATTTCTTTGTTTTGGGTACTGGGGATTTAACCCAGGATCAGTTTTCTACTAATCTAAATAACCCGCCCTTTTTTAAAAAAAACAGGGTCTTTAGTGAGACATGAGCTTGAGCTGCATTGATTAAGTCCTCATTAAATTCCTGAGTCTGGCCTCAAAATTGTGATCCTCATCTCTTAGCCTCCCAAACCACTGGGATTACAGGCATGTGCCACTATATAGGCCCAATGTTTAATCTTGCAGATTGATTTCCAAACATTTAAGGGAACTATGGTTATAGATATTTTGACATTCAGAAACGTAACTTTTAACTTACCCTGTTAAATCCTATAATAACAATACTTAATATGGTGACTGCTGCGACATGTCAACCTATATTGGTGTTTACAGGAAGAGTATGGTGGTAATCTAGGAGGAACAGGGAGCTAACAAATAGAGAAAGACATTTTTTCAAGGAGTGATTTAGTTTGACTCTCGTTGATTATAAGAAGGGCTTATTTTGGTATTCCTGACCCAGCAAATTTAGAGCCATTCAGTATGGTCTGCTTTAGGGATATGTGAGAATACATACATCAGTGATACAGAGAATTTTAGTGATGAAGTGAATGTATTTGCATTTTACCCTAAAAATGTAAAACCCAGTTTTTAAAGCAAATTTATGACTAATAACTTCTTACCTGTAAATTTTTTGCAATTATGGAAAGTGGTCAGTCCTGTTTCATAACTATGTAGATGTTCAGCTAGAGATAGTCTCTTCCACTAGGAACATCTCTTTTTGTTTGTTTGTTTGTTTTGCCACTGGGGACTTAACTGGGGACACTACATACCCAGCCCTTTATTATATTATTACATTTTTTAATTTGAGACAGGGTTTCCCTAAATTACTTACAGTCCTCTTGCTGCAGCCTCCTGAGTTGCTGGAATTACAGGCATGCGCCACCACACCTGACTAAAAGCACCATAACTTTTTCCTCCCATTTAGGACTTCAGAAGCAAAAAAATTTATAGAAGTAGAGAACATTATATAAGTTCATGGTATTCTGGGGTTAGAGCACATCTAATTTGAGGGCCTAATCTTTGTATCTCGAAGTATATGGTGTGAATATCAGGCTTGAGTTGAACAGCAAAACAGATACAGTAAATTGTTAAGTACTCTGAATAGATGTAATATTCTTGTCCTAGTTGTTGAACGTTGGGCCACGGAGGTCTCAACCTGGACAGAGAAGGGAGCCCAGAAAGATCATCACCGTTTCTGTAAAAGAAGATGTGCACTTAAAAAAGGCAGAGAATGCCTGGAAGCCCAGCCAGAAACGAGATAGCCATGCTGAGGATCCTGAAAACATCAAAACCCAGGTGAGAACAGGAGCAGATCCTGACATTGTTCTAGAGCTAAATCATAACATTTTAATTTTTCTCAATGTTCCTTTGCCTTATTAGTATGTAGAAATATCAGTTTAAGACTTTTTATACTTCTAGTAAAAACATTATTCTAAAAGCTATCATGAATACTATTTTGTCTTGAAATTACCATTTCTGTGTTTTTTCAAAACAATTATGTCTGGAAGGATCATATATGAAAGGCTTCTATCATTCAGGCTTACATTAATGTTTTCTTTTCTTTAAAATACATCTTTATATTCTCTGTGTTGAAGCCCCTTTATCCTGTGCTAATCTTATCTAATTAGTACATTGCTCTAGTCAGTTGTTAGGCCTTCTTTTTTTCATACCAGGGATTGAACCCTGGGGCACTTAAACCACTGAGCCACATCCCAGCCCTTTTTTATATTTTGAGCCAAGGTCTTGCTAAATTATGTAAGGCCTTCCTAAGTTTCTAATGCTACCTTTATACTTGTGATTCTCCTGCATCAGCCACCCATATTGCTAGGATTTCTAAGAAACTAAAATTTGGAGTTTTTTGAGATAAAATGAAATTTTCTGTATCTTTTTGTTCATATTCTGCTCTCAGACCTCCTTAGCGTAAATTGAATGAATTCCTTTTTTAATCCACAAAATATTAATTTTTGCGTATCAAGTTATATAAAGCTGTAATTCCCATTTTGTGGTACATTACCTAGGTAACACATCTGCTGTCTCCTTTGGATGTTCTTGTTTCTAGGCATTCACACTAGATTCTCTCACAGATCACATATTAACTTTTCAGTCTTAATTTTTTTTAACATCTTTTATTTATTTATTTAACCATTAGCAGTTTTAGTGTAGCAGTTGAAAGATCTAGCTCTGGAGACAATCCTGATATCGTTAGGCAAGTTCTTAATCTCAACTACAAAGTGAAGATAGAAATAGTATCTACCTTGTAGGACCAGTGTGAAGATGAACTGAGATTATATGAAGCATTTGGCATGGTTACCAGAGCCTAATCATGTGCCTAGTATTTTGATGTCCTTGGACATGTCTTTGATTTAGCACCAGCAGAGAACTTCATACGTAGCAGATAATCATTGAACATTTGTTAAATGTTTTAAACCAACAAGAAATGTTGTTTATACAAAGCAAAGACAAACATGATTTGATCCAGCAAAAAGCCAAGCTGTCCAACCTTGTTGGCTGTTTGCCTTTGTTCATCCCTTCAATGATGTCACAAAATTTGTCAGAAATCCCTAATTATGTCCTCCTTCACAGTCACTGAAATCAAGTCCTTTATTTTCTGTCTCATCTGAACACACCTCAACCTTAAAAAAAAAAAAAAACTTCTATAGTCCTTTTCTATAGTCCTTTCTTTGTTCCTCCTGAGAAATGCTTAACAATAATGGAGACCTAAGTATCTTCTTAAGACAGTTAAAAATTCCTACTGGATCTTCATTATTGTTTTGTATTAATAGGTAAGACCCTTGTGTATTGGTGCCTTATGTCATTAGATTATTACTAAATCTGTGAAGAAGAAACAGATATTATCCCTTTTTTCCATGTGGAAATGGTATCTTCAGGAAATAAGTTTCCTATAGTGCTATGGTTATGGGACAGTCCAGTTCTTGTGATTTGTAATCTGCCTGTCTTTACTCTGTAGCTGACCCCCTCCCATTCAGAATTCTTATCTCAGAAACATAGAATAATTATATTAACATAAATACTATTAATTTAGTCTTTTCTGCATAGGTGTACCCCATGTTGCCTATTGTTCTTGATATTCTTTTCATTTTGTTAAATGAAAAGAAATAATATATTATCAAGAAATAATATCAATATAATAGGTTTTCTTTTTGCATATACCATCAGAAAACTCTGTCTCTCTTTCATCCCTTCCACTCTACACGTTATCTTCCTTCTTGGTGAACCATCATGTCCCACGGCACTTCCAGGAGATCTCCACCTGAGATTTGTCTGCACCGTGCTGCTGTACTGATTTGGTGCTGGTGCTGCTGGGTTCCTTTGCTTCATCTCTCTGTTCTTTGTGATGCCTAGTTCTAGTTCTGTTGCCTGATTCACTTGCCTGAAATACTGATTTGACCTTTTCTCTTCATCTGAGCTTTCTGATTGATTGATTGATACATACATACATACATACATACATACTAGGGCTTGAGCTCAGGTGTGCTCTACCACTAATCTGTATCTCCAACACTTTTATTTATATTTTTATTTTGAGACAGGATCTCTCTAAGTTGCCATGGCTGTTCTGAAACTGAGGATCCTCCTTTATCAGTCTCCCAGGGTGCTGGGATTATAGGTGTTGCCATACCTAGCTTTATATGTGTTTTATAAAGTAGCACTGAAGAGTCATTTTCTCTCACTACTAATGAACACTAGTCTGATATTTCCAGTTTGTTCTCTCTGTCCCCAAAATAGGAGTTTTCAGTATTAATTCTTCCTAAGCTGGGCATGGTGGCACACGCATGTAATCTCAGAGACTCAGGAGGCTAAGGCAGGAGGAACACAATTTCAAGGCCAGCTTGGCCAATTTTAGTGAGACTCTGTCTCAGAAACGGATGAGATTGTGGCTTAGTGGTGGATGGCCTCTGGGTTTAGTCTCTGGTACCACTCACACAAAAAAAAAACTCACAAACTTCTCTGGCATTTGATTGTATATGCTCATTGTGTTTATGGTAAGGATTTAAAATCCTCGGAGAGGGATTTAAGTGTAGAGGGATTAAGAGAGAAAGAGAAAAGCCTTCCTGGGGCTAGGGAGTATCTGAGTGGTAAATGTTTGCAACCCCCAGTACCAAAATCAAACAAACAAGGAATAATCCCTTCCTAAAACATTTTCCTCTTTCTCAAATATCTTCTCCCTTTTCTTTTCACTTAGCCAGCTTTTTCCTTCCTTCATAATCTAGCCCAGTTCTCTTTTCCTTTTGAGGTCATTTCTTGACTAGTTCAGTGCCTGTGACGTACAATAATCCATTTTCTGATGTTGCTTTATCACTTTGTAAATATCTTACCTGTTCAGCTAGGTTTTGATACAGTAACTATGCCTTATATGTCATTTGTACCTAATGTCGAATTTTGTAGACATGAAGTAGAGAATTACAAATGAATGAGGATTTTCAATAAATACTTAATTCCTATTTATTGTCCTTTTTTTCTATGCTTACATTATTTTCTGAAAGTAGAAATAGTTGATGCTCTTTTACTAATATAAAGGTGAGTTTAACATTTTAAACCTGAAAGAAGATACTATCTTGGTTGACTTAAGCCTTTTTTCTTTCTCTCTCTTTTTTTTTTGGGGGGGGGGCAGCGAGGGTACTGGTGATTGACCCTTTACCACTGATCTACATCCCCCCCCATTTTTTTTTTTTGAAACACTAAAGTCACTAATTTGCTGAGATTAGCCTCAAACTTTAATCCTCCTCCTCAGCTTCCCAAATTACTGGTATGTCAGGTGTGTGCCACTGTGCCCAACATTTTTTTTTTCTTTTTAAAATCAAAACTGCCTTATTGCTGAAAAATTTGCCAATGTAATTTTTAAAAATTTTTGTTTGATTTATTATCTCCTGCGTAGAGAAAATGTTAGCATTTCTACACAAATTCTAAATATCCTTGTAGTCAAGTATTTTTTAAAAAATAAAATATTAAAAATCTTAAGTTTTTTTAATAAGATTTTGTTATTATATCATGGTTTCTTGCATTCTTACAACTTTTTTTGTCGACGTAATTAACTGAAAGAAACATTTCTTTTTTGTATACATTTCTATTATTGTTGGCAGACACCAACACTAACTGCCACCTCAATCAAGATATAAAACATTTTCATTAGACCTCAGTATTACCTTGTACTTACCCTTTTTCCTCATGCTCATGTCTGGTAATCAGTAATCTGTTCTGTCCCTGTAATGTTTCTTTGAATCATTTTAACCATGGCTTCCTGTACTTAGCATATGTATTTTATATTCACCCATATTATTACACATGTTATGAACTGTTTTTGTGGTTGTTATCTTTTAACTGTCCAGTAGTATTAGTTTGTTTATTCATTTACAGGGTAAACGGTTGCCAGCTTTTGGCAGTGACCACTAAGTTTGCCGTAAATCTTTACATGCAGGGTTTGTGTGAACATAAATTAGTTACTTTGGATGAGTTCCTCGCTGTGGGATTGGTGAATATATATTTACCCTTATTGGAAAATGCCAGTAAAGTTAAATGTTTTCCAGACTGGTTTTAAGTTTTGTGTTTCTGCTGGCAAAGAATGAGAGTCTCAGTTGTTTTTCATTTTCCCCACCATATGCTCTTTCCTACTTTTTAAAGTTTAAGTCGTTCTAATGGATATTCTGTCCGTGTATCATTGTAACTTTAATGACTTTGAACATCTTTTCATGCACTTTTTTGCAATTGCTATATCTTCTCTGGTAAAGTTTCTGTTTATATATTTTGCCCTTTTTCATTGAGTGATATATTTTCTTACTGTTGACTTTTCATAGTTCTTTACATATTCTGAGTTCTCTACATATTTACAGATTTTCTATGATATTCTGTGCTTTATGTTCTTATTTTATGACAGTGTTTTTCACAGAAAGCAGCTTTTTATTTTGATGATATTTAGTTTATCAATTTTTACATTTGTGGATTGTGCTTTTGCTGCCATTTCTAGGGAAATCTTTGTGTGACACAAGAATGCAAAGCTTTTTTCCTATGTTGTCTTCTAGAAGTTAATAATTTTAATTTTTATATTTAGTTCTGTGATCCACTTTTACTTGAGTTTTGTAAAAAGTACAAGATATAGATCAATGTTCATCTTTATTTTGAATGTCCGGTCATTCTCTCACAATTTGTTGACTTGACTCTTCACCATTGAATTCCCTTTGCATCTTTGTTGCAAGTCTGTTCATCATATATTTGAGTCTGTTTCTCTATTCTCCATTCTATTCTTTTGAGCTGTGCGTCTATCCTTTGGCCAGTACCACAGTTTTTATTTAGTCCTATATATAATTAATATTGAAATCAGATTATATGAGTTCTCCATTTTCTCCCCCCCCAAAACATTGCTCAGGCTTTTCTCTTTGGGTCTCTTTCGTCAGTGATTTATTGTTTTTGCCATACAGCTCCTGTGAATATTTTATTAGATTTTTATCAAGCTTTTTTTGTTGTTGTTTTTGATTTTGATGTTATAGTAAATGGCACTTTAACAAATTTTTATTTATTTGCACTTGTCAGTGTACCCTGTAATTGCTAGACTGACTTATTATAGTAGCTCATTTTGTAGATTGTTTATCGTTTTTCTACGTACACAATTACATCATCTTTAAAGTATTTCTTCCTTTCTAATTTGTACACTTTATTTCTTTTTCTTTGTCTTATTGCACTAATTAGCATCTCCAGTATGATGTTGAATAGGAATGGTAAGGACAGATATTTTTGCTTTGTCCCCAATCTTAGCAGAAAGGTCTGAATCTTTTACCATTAAATAGGGTTTTAGATTCCCTTTTTCTAGCTGAGGCAAGTTTCTTTCATTCCTAATTTGATGAGTGTTTCTAAAATATCATTTTAAAAGACTCTTGCCTAGTATTTCATAACATAATTTATATTACACTGTAATTTAGAAAAAATCCTATAGTTACACATTGAAGTTATTTTCTACAAAGGATTATGATAGAAATTATTGTATCTAAAATCTTTTTACCTATCACTAAGGGCACATCCACAGTTTCATAACTTTTGATACATATTGTCACATTGGCGTTGGAAATGTCCCCAAAAGGGCTGTTCACTGATAGAGTGTGCTCTTGAGATGCACAAGGCCCTGGGTTCAATCCCCACCACCAAAAAGAAGAAAATAAATAGACAATATTCTTGCCAACAAAGTTTAAATGTATTTAGTTCCTAGAGTTCTCATCATCAGTCAAAAAAAAAAAGGTTGGATAATTTTTTATAAATTGCTAAAATAAATGTTTTAATAAATTATATTTTTAAAATCCTTCCAGAATGCATCTTATTGTCATAGTTAGGGTAATGTTCTTTTCTTCTTTGTGATTCTTTAGGAACTTTTTAGAAAAGTTCGAAGTATCTTAAATAAATTGACACCACAGATGTTCAACCAACTGATGAAGCAAGTGTCAGGACTAACTGTTGACACAGAGGAGCGGCTAAAAGGAGTCATTGACCTGGTCTTTGAGAAGGCTATTGATGAACCCAGTTTCTCTGTGGCTTACGCAAACATGTGTCGATGTCTAGTAACGGTAAGAAGAAAGGAAGGAGTAAAACCAGAAATCTCCGAGAGGTATATTCTCCCCTCACTACACATTCTTCCCAGAAATCTTAATGGGGCAATGTAAAGGGGAGAATATATTTTTAGCACTTATTAATATCCTTATTGGATAAAAGAAACTTACCTTATTAAAATATATCCACAGGGAGGGGACATGGAGAGCAGGGTGAAGTGGGCATGAAGTAGTCCTGTCAGCATAAGGGAGATGGAGCTGCTGTGGCAGGGCCCTTGCCTGGCCTGTGAGCCCCTGGGCTCAATCTCCACTGCCTCAGAAAATAAATTAGTAATGTGAAATTATTGTGTAGGAATCAAGTTTCCTGGGACATCATGTTATATAGTATTAAAGCAACATTTCACTGAATTTGAAATTAAGTAACTTTTTAGTTTTAATTATAGCTTTTATGAAAACAAAAGGATGGTTTTCTTACGGTTAAAAGGTTTAAAACTGATAATTTCATCTTTTAGAAACTGTTAGGTTTATCTTTACATCATCCATAGCTCTTATTTCTCCACATCCTGTCCAAACTAGGAAAACAGGATGGGAGACCAATTTCTGATTGGTGTTCATTGTACTCCAGGTATTCTGCAATCATAAAATGCCACATTCCACCTGTGTTTTCTCTTTTACTGTTACCAAGGTACTTGTGTCAGAAATGCATGTCGTTTAACATTCGGGATTTTTCTTAATTATCACAACTTATTATCATCATACCTTGCTTCTTAGAAACAAGCTGTGAAAATGCAAAAGTCTGTTGTTCTACCAATATTTTTGAGTATCTGTGTCAAAGGTAGGTAAATCTGTTTGGATTTGGAAAAAGTAACATCTTCTATCTTTAAGGAAGTTCAAAATACATAATTGGAAAAAAAAACAGTATTTGTGAGGGGAAAAAAAACATGTTTGTGATGTTACAGTTTGTTGAGTGTGATTGAATAATTTAGACAAAATATAAATTAGACAAAAACGAAATCATTGTGTTAGTGAAAAGATAAACTTGTATGAAGCAAATAATGTGTTGGTCCTGAGGTGGTGTGGATAGGGGAATAGGTAAAGAGAAGAAAGAATGTGTTCCAGGAAGGTGCCTGTTTGAAGCAGTAAGCATTTGATGATGGTTACAGTCCTAACTTTGAATTCTTACACTTCTGAGTTTAAAATGTAAACTTTAAAAGTAAATTTCAAATTCCTACTCTGCCACTTGCAAACTTTTTAACCTTATTTAATATTCTTGGTTACAGTCCCTAACCCCAAAATAAATAAAGGAGAATAGTTAATCATCTCTTTAAGCCTCAGATTTTAATCCCTAAAATAAGATTGATTCATGCAATTTATGGTATTGCCAGGATAAAGTAAGTAAATGAGTTAATTATTTAATGCTAGAATGAACTAAAATACTCAATGAACTAGATCAGTAGTCTCAATTGGGGCCTCCCTCCACCCCCCAATTGCTGGGAATTAAAGCTCTCTACCATTTAAGAATACATTTTTGAGAAAGACTTTTTTAATTTATAAAGCAAAGTGATATAATGGATTTGGCTTTCCAAAATTGCTTTGTAAATAGGACATGTATGCACCTGTATACACATACATATGCACAGGGACACGATATACACAGGTGCCTCCTCCATCAAAGCCTACCTAGGTAAAATACCACGTAAGGCTTACAAATAGCAATGGTAAGTCATGCCTGTGGGGTATGTCTCTGCCTTTGCTTGTTCAATTACAAATGACTGAAGGTGCCTGCAAAATCCCTCTTTACAAACAGCAAAACATTTAACTAGAATTTAGCACCACTTTTAGGAGGAAAACACTTCAAATATGAGGCAAATGGAGAAAAGTGGTCAAGAGAAATTTCCTATATCTAAATATGTACATAAATATAATTTTTAATTGGATAATTGCAACGTTAAATTGCTATGCTTTTGTTTCAACCATAATTGAAATGGAAGTTTCCATCTCAGAACCCCTCTAGAATATTGGCTCCCGAGGACAAAGGCTTTTTTCTTTTGTATTCACTGCTTAATTCCCCTTGCCTAGGATACTTCCTGGCACAAAATAGACCCTTGGACTGTGTTGTGAGTGAGTGGGTGAGTGCTTGAAATGAAAGAAAACCAATTGGAAGAAGTTTCTTTGATGCTACTGACTACTTTCGTTGCTTTCTATCTCTGTTATGGCAGACATGCTACCTCAGCTACAAAGAATTCTCTGTTACGTGAGATCCAAAACTTGTAGTGTTGTTACATTAAGTGCTTAAAGGCAAATCATCTGAAAAGTGACAAAATAGACTGAGAAGGCAATTGAGATAGTAAAACCTCAAACATATTTAAATCCCTGAAGGGTCTAGGGGTTCAGCTCAGCAGTAGAGTGAACTCATCTAGCATGCACAAGGCCCTGAGTTCCAGCCCTACCACCAAAAAGAAGAAGAAAAGAAAAACAAAGGTAAAGAGAGAAGGCAAGCCCGCCAACCAGCTTGCAATTACAGACATGAAAAGCCAGCCTTAGCAAAGTATGTTGCCGGAGCAATAGGAGGGTTAGTGATATGTGGCTGACCCAAATGAAGGTCACAAATGTGTTGAAGGAAAGATTGATCGAAATGACTTAGCTTTTCTTAACTGACCCCGCTTTTGAATTGTATGTGCATCGCTTACCACTGTCTCTTTGAGTATATCTTTTTTTTTTTTTTAGTTGTCAATGGACCTTTATTTTATTTATTGATATGTGGTGCTGAGAATCGAACCTAGTGCCTCATACATGCTAGGCAAGCACTCTGCCACTGAGCCACAACCCCAGCCCCTTCTGAGTATATCTAGTGAAGATATATTTTGATGTCTATGTTCACAATATGAGTAGTCTGATATGTATTTGGCAGGTGACTTACTAAGATCAGAAAATAGCCACTGATACATAGTATATTACCATGGATTCCTGTCATATTTGAACAGTGGCCTTATTGCTGTTCACATTTAAGAGTAAAACGTACTATAGAAACCAGTTTTAGGGTTAGCACATAAGTGTTATTTGGTTATATTATACTGGTTGTTCCAAATACTTCACCTTAGACTAGCATATACTTATGCAGCAAAATTGTCAGTGGACCTTGGGTTACCACTAGCATCTATATGTTCTGAGATAGCAGTGAAAATAGTATGCTAACCAAGGTCAAAGCCTGAACCTCCATTTTCTTTTTGACTATTATAATTATTGCACAAATGATAGCCTTTGATGATTCTCTGTTAGTTTGATCCTTTTGGGGATAAGGATTGTCTGCCCTCAACACTGACAAATATGTTAGTAGTACAAATTCTGCTGTTGCCTTTGGAAGGTGACTAGGTTAGATGAGGTCACAGAGTTAGAGCACTTTTAGTTATAGGTTAGTGCTGTTGTAACAGGAAGAGATACCGAAGCTGCTTCTCCTTTGTATGTGAAGATATAGGGAGAAGTCAACTGTTCAGGCCAGGAAATGGGTCCTCAGCGTATCTGCCAGCATCTTGATTTCTGACTTCTCAGCCTCCAGAACTGTGAGAAATAAATATCTGTTGTTTAAGCCACCAGTCTGTGTTATTTTTTATAGCAGCCCAAGTATACTAAAGCAAATAGTCTTCATGTTCTTCCCCAGCTAACCAATTTCAGTGGGTTTCTGATCAGCCAGTATCCAGCAAATAACACATTTTGACTTAATGTCATAATTCTGTTGAATTTATCTTCTCTTAATGATCCCAGATTTTTTTTTTTTACCATGAATCACTGTTCTCAGAGGATATGTTCTCACTGATCCATTTCCATTTTTGCACAGCCTAGTCAACTATCCCCAGAGGACATTAAGATCATGTTCCAAAGAAGTCTTTTTAGGGAGCTGTGTAGATAGTCATTGATTTAGGAGGGGTGTGTGTGTGTGTGTGTTTCCCCCGAACATGTACTGTTCTCCTGCTTATTTGGTTTTGGTACTTCTGTGTGAATGTGTCTAAATTGCTTATGCATAATCACATATTTTTTAATGTCCTGTACCAATGAAATTTCCCTTGACCATCATTTGGGGATAGCAGATGGTTCAATTCTCTTGCTTTTCATTCTTCTCTTCTTATTGCTTAGTGAGCTAGCTATTGCTTATGTTCTTTCTTGTTAGCTCTGTTATTATAAAATAGATGACTCTTAATTTTTAATTATAGGTATGTCAAATACAGTTTCAGGTGTTTAAATACAGCTTTATTAGTTGTTGATTGAGCCTTTACTATATGGCAGCCACTACTGTTTGCTTTACCTAGACTATCTATTTAATCTTCCCAACAGCCTTAAGAGACAGATGTTATCATCCCCATTTGTGAATGAAACAGATTAATTGAAGCTAAATAACCTGACCAAAGTCACATAACATTGCTAGAATGACAACTGTCTCCAAATCTCCTGTTTCAACAGCTATTTTATACTGTCCTTCATTTACAACATCTTGGAAATGAAGGGACTGAGTCTTAATGAATTAAGTTATTGAAGTACACACAGTTGATTTTATAGAGCAGAGATTTAGACCCTGATTTTGTTGACTCAGAATTCAGTAGTCTTTCAGTTTTAATGTTCTAAACACTTGTTGTAGCTTACTTAACTGACTTATTAATTAAAGTGTTTCCACAAAATCTGTTTTATTGTATGCTCAAAGCTGTTCTCCCTGTTGGACACAGGTACTATACTTCCTTTGTTTTTGATGTTGAAACTGAAAGGTGGATTAAAAGAATTGCCTTTGTGTATATAGCAAGTGAGCGAATCTTTTGATTCTTAACCTAATTCTTTCAACATTGCTTCCCTACTCCTAAGGGGTTAAAAGAATTGATGAGAGATCATTCTTTACCATGAATTTAAAGCACAACTCCCATGACTTCCTTGCCTCATTTGATTTCTGTTTCTGTCACCCAAATCATCACAAGTTATATTTATTTCATTTTTCTGACTGATTGAGGGGCATTAACTCTGGTCCCTCTCACCATATGGTGTGACATGGGTTTTCTTTTTGCCCACATTTCTCCCACTTTCTGCACAGTAACTCCATAATGCAGAAAGCATCTCATTCGGGTTGATAGATTATGCCCAGAGCATTTTTATCTGTCAGTTATATACTTAATGTACTTGATGTTAGTGAATATGACAAGAAGATGGAGAGGACAGTATGGTTTGTTTTTTTTTTTTTAACTTGAGTTCCTATATAGCAGTAAATTGGATATAAGTAAATTTTTAGAACCATTAGTTTGTTCTAGAACCTAAGTCACATTGGTACCAGTCTGTTTATGGATGTACTTTATGATACATCCCATTTTCTTTGGCATTTCTTAGTCAATGTATTATCATGTATTTTCGGTCTTGTATTTTAGAAGATGAAGTCCCCTTTGGCTTTTGCTTTGGAAAACTGTTTCTTTTGTATAGCATTTCTCAAAGGTTGATGAACTCCTGAGCCTGCTTATGGGACTATGGAGTAAGCCTGTGAAATGAACTATACTTGCTTGTATTTCTTTGGCTTGAATTTTATATTAGCTTTACTGTAGTTGTCTAAAAAACTTATTTGCTGATGTTCCCCTCTTTCTAAGTTAATATTTCCTGTTGAAAGAGGAACCTGGTGCCTCAGTTGATTAGAACTAGATATATTAAATAATCTTCCATTTGCAATAGGGAACATATGGGAGGGTGGTCCATCAGTGTGGCACAGCTACACCATAGCTTTGTGCCCTCCATTCTCAAGAACTTCTCTAACTATTTAGCCTCAATCAGCTATCCAAGTCCATTCTGTTTGAAAATATTAACTGTTTTGTGAATAGAAATAGAGTGTCTCTTCTTTTTCACCATTTTCTCCCATTAAAGCCTAGAGTAAAGAGCAAGTATTCATTTTAGAATTTAGGGATCCATTTTGTGATTCTAGAAAAGCCATTTTGCCGTGTTATACAACAGCTATTCAAAATTGTGCTGGGGAGTCATATGTAAAATAAAATATTATACTCAGAATCATTGCTATAATATGATACATATATATGTGGTGGGCAGGGGGCGGGCATTCTTGGGATGGGGCCTTGTGCATGCAAGGCATGCACTCTACCAACTGAGCTATATCCCTAGCCCTGCTACATATTTTTTTTTTCTTGAGACAGGGTTTTATTAAGTTGTCCAGGCTAGCCTCAAACTTGTGGTCCTCCTGTCTCAGGTTCCCAAGTAGCCATTATTACAGTCATATGCCGCTACATCTGGCTTTCTTTGTATTCTTAACATGTTCATAAGACTATCTCTGTGTTTAGCTACAAGTAACCTTGAGGATATGAGCTAGGTGGTTACTAGAAACCAGTTATTATTGGATGTGGTACATCTTACCTCCAAATGGCCCATTTCTTCTCTGGGTCTTTGTGTATGTCAAAAGAATATTTGTAATGAAACCATTTGTTAGGCTAATTTTGGAGAAATAGTATATTCTTTTGGCACAAAAGAAGTGACTAGTTAACATACTACTGATGAACAGGGTGAGTGCTGGAATTATTATTAGGACATTTCTCCTGAGAAAAGATATTTTAGAAGTCCCCAAACGTCTTGTCTTCTACTTCTTCCTAGAGTAATGATCTCTAGGAAGTTCTCTCCTCTGGCCTTGAAATTCTCCCCTATCTTATGTCATTTTTATTTCTTTAAACCAAAATGCTTACAATGGTAATTTAAAGAATTAAAATTATAACCCTTCAGAGTTAGAAGTCTAAATAAGTGCAGGGTTGTAACTAATGATATGACAAGAATCCTAAGTCAGCTGGAAGCATGGACATAAAAGATATGTTACATTTGTGTGAGAATCCGTATATATTAAGTTTCAAACCATCTTAACACTGAATCATGAAATGCCTGAAATTTAAGTTGTATAGGGTTATAGCATGCTTACCTGTAGTGCAGTCAGCATTGTTTTGCACAATAAAGAAAACAGGTGTTTTTTATGCCTTTAATCTTGCTCTTTTGCGTTTTCCTATCTGGATACAGCTGAAAGTACCCATGGCAGACAAGCCTGGCAACACAGTAAATTTCCGGAAGCTGCTACTAAACCGCTGCCAGAAGGAGTTTGAAAAGGATAAAGCAGACGATGATGTCTTTGAGAAGAAGCAGAAAGAACTGGAAGCTGCCAGTGCTGTAAGTGATTTCACAGAAAAACAATGCTGTTTGCTTTGAGTATTATCAAATAGAATTTTCTCCTTTTCTCTTTGAGAAGAGGCCTATAGACTTTTCTTTTCTTGCAGAGGTGCCGTACTGATGTTTAGGAGAATGCTTCATTCCTTTTAGTGTGAAGTATTAAAACAACTCAACCCTCAAAGCCAGTTTTAATATTCATTCTAAGCCTGGACTTCAGAGAAGGTCACTGAGTTCTAGAAATCTGAAATGGATGCAAACTTTTAGGGATGTTCTGTTTTCTGATGAGTAGGTCTGTAGTTATTATCATTTTCAAGGGCATCTCACCCCCAGAAAGAGTAAGGCCCACAGACCTTGATGTCTCTTGGTGGGACAGTGTTCATCTTCAAGATGCTGTTATTCTTTCTGGTACAACAGCCAGAAGAGAAGACGAGGCTTCATGATGAACTAGAAGAAGCCAAGGACAAAGCCCGACGGAGATCTATTGGTAACATCAAATTTATTGGAGAACTGTTTAAACTCAAAATGCTCACCGAAGCCATCATGCATGACTGTGTGGTGAAACTGCTCAAGAACCATGATGAAGAATCCCTGGAGTGCCTGTGTCGCCTACTCACCACTATCGGCAAAGACCTAGACTTTGAGAAAGCGAAGGTAAAAATCCAGAAACTCAGAAGCCTTTAGCAGGCAGTCTTTGTTGGTTGCAAAAAACTTAAGCTGTCAACAGAAGTGTTGCATTTTACCCCAACAATCTACTCTTTGTTTTTCTTATTTTGTTCCACTCATTGTCATTGATTAAATGACAGTGCTCTTTACCACATTTGCATTAAAGTTAGAGGTAAGGAGCATCCAGTTTGTAGAGTATTCATGTATTTGTCCCTTGTTCTTTTTTCTCTACTTCATGACCATTTTATAGTTCAGTTGTTTGTATGGCAAACAAATCAACTGTGTATACTTCAATAAGTTAATTCATTGAGACTCAGTCCCTTCATTTCCAAGATGTTATAAATGAAGGAGAATATAAAATAGCTGTTCAAACAAGAGTTTTGGAGACAGTCATCATTCTAGCTTTAATTAATCTGTTTCATTCATTGGATAATAACATCTATCTCTTAGGGCTGTTGGGAGGATTAAATAGATAGTCTAAATAGATAGGCAAACAGAAGTGGCTGCCATATGGTAAGGGAAGAATAGCTACCATGGGCTAGGCCTGATGGTGATGAAGAAATAAAGAAGTCCCAGTAGCTTGCTTAAGTCTGCGGTCTGATTACTGACACGATTATTCAATCAGAACATAAGAAAACATTAAAAATACTGTAATCCACACCTAGCATTGTGCTGTCCACAAGGAATGTGGAAATTAGAAATAGTTGAAAGAAGACAATGTCAGAGCTGGGCATGATGGCACATACCTATAATCCCAGCACATTAGTGAGATCCTGTCTCAAAACAAAAAATTAAAAGGGTTGGGGATATAACTCAGTGATAAAGTGCCCATGGGTTCAATCCCCACTACCTAAATAAATAATAATGGTTATTATGTCATAAACGTTTTATAACCTCTGTGTCAGCTAGTATTATGTATGGTTATAAGAGAACAACCCCCCACATCTATCACTTATACAGAGTTGGGGTTTATTTCTCCGTAGGTAACAAAGTTCAAAGGCACACAGTTCCAGCTTACCATCTTAGCATTCCTAAGGCATAACCCTGGTCCTTGTTCTCAGTAGAAGACAGGAAAGGAACAAAGTACAGTCACATCTCTCTTAAGGAAGGTTTCAGAGCTACAGTACAACTTCTTATTTATATTTTGGCCTGTAATTAATCACATCACCAAAGTCATCTGCTTGGGAGCCTAGAAAATGTAGTCTTTAGTTTGTTGGTCATATGCTCAATTAAAAATGGTACCATTACTTTTGACTGTAAGCTGTTGTTCCTAACTGCTAATCTGCAATTTTAAATTAGCATTTAACATTTGAATTTGTCATCCAGGAATACTAGTGATTTTTGTCTTTTGCAGCCGCGTATGGACCAGTACTTTAATCAGATGGAGAAAATTGTAAAAGAAAGAAAAACCTCATCTAGGATTCGATTCATGCTGCAAGATGTGATAGACCTACGGCTGGTAAGTAAGAGAAAAAAATAAATTAGCCTGCCATTCCAGTCTCTTTGGGTTAAGTAAGGATGTCCTATTATTTATAAGCATTAAAAACTTAATGTTTTTGCTTCAGGGCTTAGAACTTGATCTGGCAGACCTCCATAAGGAAGTTACATGAAAGAATAAAAGGTCTCTTGCCTATTACATGTTTCTTCTTAGTCCAGTTATCAAACACATTACGGTTTTGAAATTGACCATTCTGAATTCAGACTGTGGTCAGTTGAATAATAGTCTTTGTAAGCTAAATAATCAGAAAGTCTCATCTTCACAATGACACATTTAACTTCACCGAGGCTTACATTGTTAATCTCTAAAACTGAGAATGCTGCCTACCTTGCAGTTTTGTTGTAAAGATTGAATGAGATAACAGTGTCGGTGTTTTCTTCTCTGCTGTTTTTCCTGTAGACCTTCCTGTTCTGCTGCTTTTTTTCCTCCTTTCAAATACCAGAGTTGGGGTTTATTTCTCCTTATATAAACAAAGTTCAAAGGCACACAGTTCCAGCTTAACATCTTAGCATTCCTAAGGCATAACCCTGGTCCTTGTTCTCAGTAGAAGACAGGAAAGGAGCAAAGTACAGTCACATCTCTCTTAAGGAAGGTTTCATATTCATATTTTGGCCTGTTTTCATTCCTGTCACCTCTTTGTCTTAGTTTAATTCTGATAGGGACTGTCCTGCAGCTGAAGATGAATATGGGTACCATCTCTCTGTCTCGCATGCAGGCCAGTTAGCACTCATGGAGGTTAGCATGTTTTGCTAACCCCAGATGAGACCTTAGGATCCTTCTTATAACCAAAGTTCTTCCCAGCTAATCAGAATTTGCATATTATTAAACTGGTTTCCAGCCATGCCCACAAATCACTTTTATCAGGTTTTGGAACTGTGTTTGAGAATGGAAGGGAGGAGTGTAATTATACAGAGACAGCTTTCGTCCCTACAGAGGGGAAACCGGAGGGTGGCATTGTATGCACTTAGTGTCAGTACCAGAATAACAGTGTTGAAGGAGGAAGCCTACTACTCATCCTTGATTTAGAGCCTCTCTGAAATATGATATGACCTGAGTAGCAAAATGCCTGATTATGTCAGTGCCAAGGAATCCTTATTCTTCTTGATTCCTTATCCCTCTCTGCCTGTGAATTGTAGAAAATGATGGTAAAATACATTTGGCCCAGCTGGACGGGGTTGATTAAGGAGAATTTAATTCTGTTGCTCTATTCTCCAGACTCCATGTAGTGTCATATATGAGACAGAAACTGCCATAATTTCAGATTTATAGGTAGCTTATACTTTTCCAGCAGTACATACATTTTAAAGATTTTTCAATTTTATTTCCAGTTATCTCATTAGTAACCTTATTTTCTACTTTTATAGTGTAATTGGGTATCTCGAAGAGCAGATCAAGGACCTAAAACTATTGAACAGATTCACAAAGAGGCCAAAATAGAAGAACAAGAAGAGCAGAGGAAGGTCCAACAGCTCATGACCAAAGAAAAGAGAAGACCAGGTAAGGGTGGAAGGCCACTGAGCTTGGAAGAACCTGGGAATCTGAGGGATAGATATGTAAGAATTCTTTATTCAAGTGTGAAATGAGACCACTGAGAATAACCCAAAGAATGAGAGTGGCAATTGTTAAGTGAACCATTTTCCTCTAGAGATCAGTCATTGCTTATATGGAGTGGTGCACGCCTGTAACCCAATGACTCAGGAGGCTGAGGCAGGAGGATCACAAGTTCAAGGCCAACCTCAGCAATTTAACGAGGCCCTATATCAAAATAAAAAGGCTGGGAATGTGGCTCAGTGATTAAACATCCCCAGGTTAAATCCTCAGTACCAAAAAGAAAGAAAGAAATAGAAAAAAATAATTTCCGTCTAACTTTTCACAAAGTATTCTAGTCATTAACTGCAAAGACCAGGTGTGGCCCTGCCTTGCCCACACTGAGTATTCATTTGTGTCATTTGGTTTTTTTAATAGGTCAGTCTGGTTCATGGAGAGCCAATATAAGCAGAGGACTCTGCTTGATATTTTCATTCTGTGGGCACTAAAGGGCCTATCATCAGTACTTGCACAGCTTCTTTTGTCTTTTTCCTTGGTTTTGATTGAGCTGGCTGAGTTGAAAATATTGCTCTCGGGCTGGGGTTGTAGCTCAGTGGTTGAGTGCTTGCCTGGCATATGTGAGGCACTGGGTTCATCCTGAGTACCACATAAATAAATAAAGATATTGTGTCCATCTACAACTAAAACAAAAAGTGTGTTTGTGTGTGTATGTGTGTGTGTGTGTATTGCTCACTCTTTCTAATGACTTGGGATAATGAGAGACTGGCTCACTCTGTTCTCCCTGTAGGTGTTCAGAGAGTGGATGAAGGTGGGTGGAACACGGTACAAGGGGCCAAGAACAGTCGAGTACTTGACCCCTCAAAATTCCTGAAAATTACTAAGGTGAGTGTGACCTTTAAAATTTAATTTACAACAATTCTGCCATGAGTCTCAAAAGTACTTGCTCATAAAAAAATAACCACATTGCAAAGCAAAAACAAAACCACATTGCATATTTTGTGGCATGGTTGTTTGGGGACAGATACTTTTCTACAAGTTAGTATTGTTCAGTGTATTCTACATACCTGTCTTAGCACTAGTTCATTTTATTTCTGAGTTTCTTCTTTTTTAAATATATATTTTTTAGTTGTAGAGGATCGAACCCAGTGCCTCACATGTGTTACACAAGCTACAGACTCAATCCTATGAGTTTTCTAAAGAGGAAATACCTGGGTTAATCCCATCCACTTGGAGGCTGAGGCAGGAGTATCGAGAGTTCAAAGCCAGCCTCAGCAAAAGCCAGGCGCTAAACAATTCATTGAGACCATTCTCTAAATAAAATACAAAATAGGGCTGGGGATGTGGCTCAATGGCCAAGTGCCTCTGCAGTCCCCAGAACCCAAAAAAATTTAACCAGGAGGGCTGGAATTGTGGCTCAGTGGTAGAGTGCTTGCCTGGCATGTGTGAGGCACAGGGTTTGATCCTCAGCACCACATATAAATAAGAAAAAGATCAGTTGACAACTAAAAAAATTAATATATTTTTTAAATTTAACCAGGAAAGATATTAAATTCCATATCCAAGGACTAAAAGAATTCACAGAGAGCCTATTAGAAATCATTCTATAATAAATATTTAATATATTCTCCCTTCCTCTCTCTTGAGAACTCATGGGTAGGAAGAAGAAAAAAGTTTCTTTTAGCAGATGTTTCTAGCAGTAGGAGTCGATAACTATAAGTAGGGCGAAGAATTTAAGGGAATGTTAAATTTGGTAAAAGTGAACACCGGCACAACCCAGGGGTTTGTGCAGATGGTTTGCGAGTCTCTCAAGACCCTTACTTGTAATTGGTTTTCCAGGGTTCTCACGACTGGCAGCCTGCCAGCAGAGTGCTGAGCACAATCTAAAACTAATGTGAAAACACCAAATGAGAAAAGATAACTGACAAAAAATTAAAAGAGTCAGAAAACTGGATAATAAAACATACAAATGAACTAAGTCATTTGTATCTTCATGGTTTTGTCGAAGCTTTGCTTCAGAATAAAGCATTCCCCTTCAGAATGTCTCGATGTAATTCACTATAATCATATTCTCTAGGATTCTGGTATATTCTTGTAGTTGTTGTTTAGGTCACAGAGCAGGACTTTCGCTTCTCAATACAAATTGATTCCCATCCATTTCCAGCAGAAGACAATTTTAATTAAAGCCTTACATTTAAAAAATTGCTCTAGCATCAATTCAGCTGATACCTAATAACAACATTTTTGTTTTTAAATATTACATTTTTGTGCATGAACATGATAAGGAACAATTCTGGAATCAATCCTCCACATCACTACTGTCCTATTTTGAAAAATAAGTAAAATTGTGTGTTAATAAAATTTGTGTATTCAGATAATGTATTCAGATAATAGTTCTGTAGGTACTGTGTGTCAGTATGCTACAAAAAGTTCAAAACCATTAAGAATATTTATTGTTAATTGGTAGAGATTTGTATAAAAGTATGTCACATAGCAAAGCAGTACATCCAGAGTTGTCAAAATATAGCAATACTTTCATTAGAAAAAACTGCATTTATCTTTTTGTAATTCTGTTCACTTCTGCTGAAGTTGTGCTTGGCAAGTGAAACGTGAAAGATATCAGGCACCTTAACTCACTGCACTCACAGTCCATTATTCCATTCTTTTATTCCCCTTTATTGAATACTCTCATTCCACCCGCCATCCCTCACCCAACGTGAAAATTTTGTGTCTCTTAACTTGCTTTTCCGCAATAATGTAATATTTGTGAATTTCCTTTTCTTCATCTTTTTTAAATTAATGGGCATTATACAAGAGGAACCATTAGAAGCTTCTAACATTTTGCAAATTAATAAACCATCTTAAATAGGAGGACTTGAGGGCATTCCCCAGACCAGTGCCTTCAAATTGTGTTCTGTGGAAATGAATCCAAAGAAGTGACTTAGAGGCTTCCGTGATCCCACTTTAAAGGGAACAGTTCCAGTTTATGTTTCTTTTTTTTTTTAAAGAGAGAGGGAGAGAGAGAATTTTAACATTTATTTTTTATTCATCGGCGGACACAACATCTTTGCTCTGTATGTGGCGCTGGGGATCAAACCCGAGCCGCACGCATGCCAGGCGAGCGCGCTACCACTTGAGCCACATCCCCAGCCCCAAGTTTATGTTTCTTAAACTGGCATTCCAAACAAAATTTGTTGCTAAAATTGGTTCTACTGAACTGAAGAAGAAAAAAAGAAAAACTATTCTTTTAGAATATTTCCTATATTTGACTTGTGACCACTATGTTACAGCCCACAATTGATGAGAAAATTCAGCTGGTACCTAAGGCTCAGCTGGGCAGCTGGGGAAAAGGCAGCAGCGGTGGAGCAAAGGCAAGCGAGACAGGTATGTGCATTGGCCTTCTTCCAGCCTACTGCTAGCTTCTCCCTTGGGATGCTCTTCTATAGTCACCGCATAACGATTTTAGGAAAAGATCTGTAGACTGATCATGCCCCGGATGTTATTTTGGTGGCCCTCTCTAGCATAAACTAGGATTTCCTCATTGAAGAGGATCTTTGGTTAAACCATTTTTAAATTTTGGCAAAACCTTTTTAGTTTACAATTTCTTTTTCATATACTTCTATTTTTGATAGACAACAGTAATTATACATATTTATGGGATATAGTGTGCATTTCAGACACACATATTATGTATAATGATAAGATAGGGTAATATTTATGGCATATTTATTAGCTCAGATGTGTATTTTTCTTTATTTGGGGAACATTCAGAAAACTTCCAGTAGCTGTTTGAAATGTTAATTAACCATTGTCAACAACAGTTTTTCTACTGTGCTATAGAATATCAGAACTTATTTCTCCTATCAGTTTAGCTAAGTGGTTAGGAATTAAATCTGTTAGGGTCCTTTGTTGTTGTTCACAGTTCAGTCTAGTTACAGATATTACTGGGGCCCCAAGTTAAAAGGGAAACTCATTATGTTGAAAAAGAGTGTTAATTCATAGAAACATTTAATTTAAAGGAGTTTATAAAGAAAAGCTTAAAATATTTTTTAAATTTCTATCAAAAATCAGTTTTTGTCAGCAATGAATTTTTTTTTTTAATTTGGTAGTTATAGATGGACATAATGCCTTTATTTTTATTTACTTTTATGTGGTGCTGAGGATCGAACCCAGGGCCTCACACATGCTAGGCAAGTGCTCTACCACTGAGCCACAACCCCAGCCCCAACAGCCATGACCTTTTTAACTAAAAATGTTTGAACCATCACAAACATGACTGCTATCTAAGGAAGTCCAAAGAAAAGCTAAAATGTTAACCTTCTCATATATTCTTCCTACTAAGAACTTTCACTTAACTTTTTAAAAAATTTTAAAATGTTACAATTCATTTAAACACACATGCATGATTTTACATAAATGGGATCATAGCATTTGTATGCACTTTGTTTAATTGCAGTATTTTGGTTTACATTTGCCTGCCTCCTTCTTGCTATTTACCATAAGCATCCTTGTGCCCTATAAGGATAATTTACATTTTTTAAAGGTGCAGATGCTTCTAATGAACAAATGTTTTTAAACACTATTTACATACAAATTTCCTCCAATGCTTTAGTTCTCACAAGTAGATGTACCAGGAGATTAGCATCTCCTGAACCTGTTAGAAATTCGTGTTCTCATTCCAGGTATAGTGTTTCTCACCTGTAGCCACAGCTACTGGGGACACTGAGGCAGGAGAATCCCTTTTGCACAAGAGTTTGAGACCAGTCTGGATAACATAGAGATCCATCTCTTAAGAATGGAAAAAAACAAATAAATTCCTTCTTGGGCCCAGCCCAGGAAGGCAGGTTAATGAGTATTTGCATTTTAGTCATGTGTTTGTACCTTTTTCTAAAATCTTAATACCTACAGATGCCTTACGGTCAAGTGCTTCCAGTTTAAACAGATTCTCTGCTCTGCAACCTCCAGCCCCATCAGGGTCCACATCAAACACATCTTTAGAGTTTGATTCCCGAAGGGCTTTAACCAGGTGAGAATTCCACTTTACGTGTTTATTCAAGGCTGTCCTTCTTCCCATATGTCTGTCTCTCATATATATGTGAATTATGATGGTAACCCTATGAATATCTTCCTATCATACCTAAAGTTGATTTCTTTTACTTTTCTCACATACACACACACACACACACACACACTATATATATATATATATATATACACACACACACACACACACATACGTGTGTGTGTGTATATGTGTATATATAAAAATATGGGAGTTTTGTTTTGTTTTTTTTATACAGGGGATTAAACTTAGGGGTGTTTAACCACTTACCCACATCCCCAGCCCTTTTTATTTTTTATTTTGAAACAGGGTCTCACTAAGTTGCTTAAGGCCCTGAGAAGTTGCTGAAGCTGGCCTCTAACTTGTGATCCTCTTGCCTGAGCCGCTGGGATTACAAGCATGTGCTACCACACACTATGATTTTAAAGTAGGAACAAAATTAGGTATTGGGTTTGGGATGTGATGGGCAGAAGAGTATAAGTTTTCTGACAGATAACTAAGAATTTGCTCCTTAATACACACACACACACACACACACACACCAAAGAGCCCTGGAGGCATGTCTAGGGCTTGCCAAATTACTACTCCTGGATGTTGTTGAATAATGTGACATGACATCCCACCCATACACTTCTGTTGCACTGTTCAAATTATGTGAGATTGTCCTTTAGCTTTCACTTGTCTCTATGCATATTCTGCTCTCTTTCTACTTTTTTGTTGTTGTTGGCTAGTTTACATAGTCACGTATTCTATTGGCTGGTTTCCATAGCGTGATTGGGGACCTATGGTATTGTGATAGGAGAATAGAATTTTTGATACATGCACTTTCAAAGTTGAAATTTCTTTAAACTTCCAATACTTTTTTAGAAAAATTAATTACTACAGTTTGATTAGGTAAACCTCCTAACTATCTTACTCATTCCCTGGGCTTCTGAAACAAAGTATTCTTAGCACCTGCCAACTTTTCAGGAGAACTCAGATTGTCATCTGCTATTGAGGCATTTGTTGGCTGTTTGCTCTGTCATAAGTTTTTGATGGCTTTTCTTTTTAAGTACTTGTGTATATTCTTTCATAGTGGTTAGATCTTTGTCTACCCTGAGTCTCTTTTTTCATATTTACTTCACTGCTTTTGAACTGTCATGTCTGTGAACTGTTGTTGCAGCTCTTTAGAATTGTCTAAGAAAAGAAAAGAAAAAGTTGAGTGAGTACAGTGGTACACACTTGTAGTTCCAGTACTAAGGAGGTGGTGTACACCTGTAATCTCAATGACTGGAGAGGCTGAGACAGGAGGATCACTAGTTTGAAGCCAGTCTCAGTAACTTAATGAGACCCTGTCTCAAAGTAAAAAGTAAAAGGTTTGAGAAGTTGCCCAGTGGTAAAGCACCCCTGAGTTGACTCTCCAGTCCTCCTCCACTCCTCAAAATAGAACCATTGTGTTTTTTGTTTGTTTGTTTGTTTGTTTTAAAAAGACTAGGGCAATATGCACATTCTGTCTTAAAATGAATAAAGTGTATGCCTGTGACTGTTCAAAGCCTACTTCTACTTGGTTCTTTTTTTTAATTTATTTATTTTTAGTTTTAGGTAGACACAATATCTTTATTTTATTTTTACGTGGTGCTGAGAATCAAACCCAGTGCCTCACGCATGCAAGGCGAGCGCACTACCACCTGAGCCACATCCCCAGTCCCCTCTACTTGGTTCTTAATAATTTCCATGTTTCTGGAGAAATAAAGTATCATCAAATAGTTTCTAAAATAGTGATTTCTTGTTCTTAGGACATTTGTTTCCCTTTCATTCACTATTCTCTTGCTTTTTATCACTGTCTTTCTTTCTAAAAACAGTTTTTAAGAACAAAATAAGGAGTTGCCATTGTCATTTAATAGTTTTAAGTAGGTAGAGTTATAGTTCAATGGTAGAGTACGTGTTTAGTTATCTCAAGGCTCTGGGTTAAATACCTGGCACCGAAAAGGAAAATTAAAAATTCTAAGTATGTCCCTTTTACCCTTAGAGGACAAAATTTTAATAAAATACCTTAATAAATATTTCCTTCAAAGCATTCTGGGTTTTACTTATTCATTCAAAAATTTCTACTTTGAAATATAATTTGTACTTAATGCATCTAGTTACCTGTGGAATGTTATTTTTCATGCCTTCAGTGTCATTTGATAAGTTGGATGTAAAGGAGAGAGGGTTGTCTTTCTTTTAAAAAGTGTTGTTTTGCCTTTTAAGTCGTGGAAGCATGGGCAGGGAGAAGAATGATAAGCCCCTGCCACCTGCAACAGCTCGTCCAAACACATTCATGAGGGGCGGCAGCAGTAAAGACCTGTTAGACAATCAGTCTCAGGAAGAGCAGCGGAGGGAGATGCTGGAGACCGTGAAGCAGCTAACAGGAGGCGTGGACCTGGAGAGAAACAGCACCGAGGCCGACCGAAACAGAACCAGGGAGTCAGGTTAGAGACTTTCTAGGGACAAGAATAGAGAAAGATATAGCCTTAAATTTGGGAGGAAAACCACAAAGGAGACTTTGTGCCTGAGCAGAATTCAGAATCTGCATACCAGAGCAGCACGAGTGCCTGCGCCTTGACAATGACAGGACCACTCCATCATTCTGTAACACCATTCTCATTCCCTAGTATGTCTTTGCTGAGAAGTCGTCAGATTTCCCCTTCTCTGTTAAATGTTATGGTGACAGGGTTCTGTATGTTAAGCAATCTGAATTCCTCAGGAGTCTCTTCAGCACCCTCCCTTGCACTGCTATTAGAGTGACATGGCCGTGTAATGCCCTTGAGCATGTAAAAGATTTTACTTTGTTAAGCAACTGTAAGGAAAGGGAAGGGAAGGTGTCAGATTGTGCTTTGTTGCCATCATCTGCCCTGGCACCTTCTGTGGGTTGGATGCGTTTAGCATGTGTATGCTTAAAGATTTACTCAGGTGATAGTATAAACGTCACTTCATGTATTTAACCTGTGTTTCAGTTTTCTCATTTGTTAAATGGGGTTAAGTGTATCTACCTTAACTCTATAGGGTTATTGCAGATGAAATGAGAAGGTAATATATAAAAATACTTAGAACTTTACCTCATAAATAACAAAGTTTTCGAAAGGTATTAGACAGCATGACGATGATGATAACAGTAATTAAAAATAATTTAAAGAAATTTTTTGGCATTTTCTCAATCTTAACTATGAAATAACACTAGTTGCTTATACCATTAATATGGCTTTTAATTTTGTTTAACTATTTAAATTGTTCCTTTTAACCAGTCTATTTAAATAGACTTTAGAGGCAAATTGAAATTTCTTCTTCCAATTGAGAATAGGCTTTAATTATGTAACTTTGGGGACATTTGATGTTCTTAGGTACTTTGGGAACATAATAGGATAAGAAATGAAAATATGTATGTGCAGTGAGTAATGTGACATAGCTGATCTGCACAGAAGTACGGTACAACTGAGAAAACCTTTACAAAGGAAAGGAATGTAGTTCTTTGAGAGAAATTAACAAGAGACCAATCTGGAATCAGGGCAGAGGGACCAATAGGAATGAAACAGGTTTACAAGAAAGGACAGCTATGGAACAGATAGTAGGAGTACCCTGCGCAGAGTTGTAGTAGGAGAAGCCATGGCATGTTCCAGTAAATGCCATAGGCCAGTGTGGTTAGAGCTGTGGTCAGCACAACCCTAGCCTATGTGAATTCTGAAGGTATTTTGTGCTCCTCATGGAAACAGTGTAGAAGAGTCAAAATACAGAAAGGAACAGAGAAACTCGTTGACTCTAAAGGTGTATAATATGCCTAAATCTTGTTGATTATTGGTATAAATTATGAAGTTATTTAGTGCATATCTATGCCAAAACTTTCTGAATTGTTTTTACATTATCTTGCTTCATCATACTTACATCTATTAAATGGCTCTATTGAAAAAACAGTGTAACAACATAGAAATAATATCACTTTAATATGGTAATTTTTGTCCTTTTTATTTTCTCACTTTTTAAAATCTCATTAGCAGTGAAACCAGAAATGTCAACAGTGTCAGCCCCTGACAGGCCTGTATTGTCAGAAGAGGAGATGGAGAGAAAGTCCAAATCTATCATTGATGAATTTCTACACATTAATGATTTTAAGGTAAATGAGATTTAAATAAGAAAGAAAGCAGCAGGACAGAAAGCCCTGTGACAACCATGTTTAGTAACTTGGTCTAAATCAGATGTCATTGTGACTGATAAGACTTAGACTGAGTGATCTAAATTCTACATGGTTCATTGTGCTTAACTCTGATGCATTCTGCCAAGTATTGTCTTTCAAATTAATTCTGTAGTTCACAATGTGGGGTGGTTGGGGAGAAGACAGGTGCCAATCCAGTCTAAACCAGGGAAAAACAAATTGACTTTGGTGTTAATGAGCAAAAACAATACACAATCATTGTAAGGTATTTCTTACACCCAATTATACTTGCTATAGTTGTTTAAACATTCCCATGTTAACCCTGAAATATGGCTGGCATTATTTTTCTTTGTTTCGTAACTGAAAAACTGAAACACAAAGGGGCAAGTGATGTTCCAAGGTCTGATGGCCTAAATGAGACATTTATAGTCATGGCTTTCAATGTGTCCCTCTTTAGCCCTTACCTTCCCCCTGTGTTCATTTTAAGATGGTAGTGAGCAAAATAGATGTTGCCTGGCATCGTGTGCTCTGTAGTCTGTTGATGGAGACAGATCATATACAGGTAACACCACAGTTATTTAAATTGTAAGGTCTTAGGAGATCATATATTGGACTCTAGTTTGGTGCTCTGAAGTCTGGAAAGGCTTTTTTTGTTAAAATTGTCTGTTGTGCTGGGTTGTGGCTCAAAGGTAGAGCGCTTGCCTAGCATGCATGAGGCCTGGGTTCAATCCTCAGCATCACATATAGCAGCATCACCTATAATTTAAAATATAAATATTTTTTTAAATTGTCTGTTAAAATATATCAGATATATTAACTACTTTTGCTTTGGCATTATCAAAAATACTAAAGATACTTGAATTCTTAACAATATAATCATTATCTGCTTTCAATATACATAAATCACATTGGTTAGCCAGGCTTTGTGGCACATACCTTTAATCCCAGCACGTTGGGATTAAACGTTCAAAGCCAGCCTCAGCAATTTAGCAAGATGGTGTCTCAAAATAAAACAAAAGGGGGCTGGGAATGTGGTTCAGCACCCCCTGGGTTCACTCTCCAGTACCCCCCCCCAAAAAATTACCTTGGTTATCTATAGCCCAGCTCAGAAGCAGGGAGAAGTTTTTGATGATGAGTAAGATAGGACTATTTTGCAGAAACCCTTGGACACGCAGCACCATAAGTGAAGATTAATTGAAAAAGAGCTAAAGAATGTACCTGATGTACTGTATTTTATTAGCTAACTTCCTGGCCAATGAGAGTGTTCTCGTAAGCTGGCAACACAGCTCTTTTTCTTGCATGGAAGTAGGGAAATGTGAAAGACTTAAGAGCAAGTTGAATAGCTATGGACAGTGTGAAGCAAGTACAGAAAGGGAGAAAGCAGTGGAGATTGTCTTCAGACATAATTTGATGGATGTACAAAGTTAGTGAGTGACAATTTTAAAGATGACCCTGTGGTGAAATGCAAGTACAGGAAGAAGATAACCTCACGAACACTTAGGTGCACAAGAATACCCTTTGGAGGATCATGAGCCCCAGCCAGGTCTGCAGTATGAAGGGGACAGAGTTAGTTACAACTTCAGAATTCTATTTTGCAGTATAGTAGAGGCAGTTGTACCTGCAGAGTGGCTCTAAGAACCAGGTAATAATATTCTACATTTATTGAAACTTACTCTGTGCTGTTCTACATATTTTATATGTATTAGTTTATGTAGTCAAAGTTGATATTATAATGCCTGTTTTTACAGATAAGAAAGCTGAGATGCATAGACATAAAAGTCACTTGCTCAAGATCTTACTGCTAATAAGCAGCCGATTAAAAGCCAAACTTGAGCTTCAGAGCCCAAAATATGCTTTATCTCGTCCCCTTTAGGGTATTAGTATGTCAGGCTAAAGAATTATAGAGTGCATCCTAAGAGGGGTTTTTTTTGTCTGTGATCCTCTTCATAAGTGCCATAAATTAATATTATTGAACCTTTATTTTATGCCTGTCAATGTGCCAAGTGCTTTCCTATATATTTTTTATATACATTTCTCCTTGTAACCTTTTGATAGAAAGCACAGGCTAAAAGATTGTTCTACTCCTTAAGTCACATATTAGTAAGAGGCAGAGCCAGGAATCAAACCGTCATTTGTCAAGACTCCCACATTTTTGGGGATACTACCTGAAATTTGCATAGTACATACAACAAATAATATCATCTGCTTCTGTGGACTTACATTCTAGTGCAGAGACACAAACAAGACTGACCCTAAAGATAGGTCAGGAATAAGTAAGCCGTAGTTACAAAAAGAAAAACAGTGTTTCAGTACAGAGAACTAAAACTAGGTGGCATGATATCCAATGGGGAGATAATCAGAAGACTATAGGAGGTGTTACTTCTACTGAGAGCTCAGAGACAAGAAGAAACAAATCATGAGAAAAGAAGATAGCAGCAAGGTTGTGAATTGCTATGATACAATTGGTTGACCCTTTATGGAGAACTGACTCTTCCTGCTGGGGGACACATAGGGTATATATGGAAAATTAAATACTTGAATTTATTCCACCTTTTCCCGAAAAGTAATTGTAATGATGTTGATGAGGTTAAAATGAGGCAAAAACCCAACAAGGATAATGAGCACTTGAAACACCAACAGCAACACAACAGCTGCCCTGAATGCTACAGAAATACCAGTATCATGAAAAGACAAAAAAGAGTTGCGGGTGGAGGGGCCTGGGGATATAGCTCAGTTGGCAGAGTGTTCATCTCACATGTATAAGGCCCTGGGTTCGATCCCCAACACCACTCAAAAAATAAATAAATAAACGAAAAAGAGAAGGGGAGTCTGCTTTAGATTACAAGAGTCTAAAGAGACATCATGGCATGGAATGTTGGTTCTCAACAACAAGAAGCTATTTGGACATTTGGGGACAATTATGGAAATTTGAAATGTCCTGTATATTAGATGATATTTTTATCTAAATCAAAGTGAAGACACATAGTTTTACACTGGGTTACTCTTAATTTTTCTGTAGTTTTGAAATTTTTTTAGGTAAGAACAGAGGAGGTATAAAGTAACAGAAGGGAAAGAGAGCAGTCCCACTGAGATACCCAGAGGAGCCTTACTTCCTTTACTTCCCTTTGCACATGTAGCTTCCAAGAGGAGCTACTTTTTGCAGAAGTCAAACCAAGAGATTTTGGACCAGAGTAGCAACAGAGCTGCTCTGGCTAAGAGTAGGGAGTTAATGCTGGTGATGGAGCAGCCTGGCTGTCAGGCTTTCATTCCCCAGACCAAAGATATTAAGCTGGCCAGATCATTTCCACAGTAAGCACCGGTTAACAGAGCCTCGCACAGAAACCTCCTCCAAGGACTTTAGCACTTAACCTTAATCATATCACTGAAGTTTAGCATTCCTAAGAGGAAGACCTCTTTCATGGAGATGGGGAATGTCTTAACAGTCCCAGCCAAGGTATCTGGGCTGCCATGTTGAGGCCTTCAAATCATGGCATTGAATTTCAGTGTCATAATATACCATTTTCAGTTTCTAAAATGATCAGAAAACAGGTGAATGTTATGTAGAAAAATACCTTTGGGCTCTGATCTTCTGATTGTTTTTTGAATAAAATTATTAACCTACAAATGTTAGCCTTTTGAAGATCTCTCTCTCTCTCTCTCACACACACACACACACACACCCATAAACGCAGACACCCATACACCTGCCAGGATCTCCCTGTGTTGTCCAGGCTGGCCTCAAACTCCTGGGCTCCAGTGATTTTCCTGTTTCTGCCTCCCAAGGATTTGGGACTATACGGATGCATGCCATCATACCCAGTTTTCTCATTAATATGACTAACCTGCCTATATCAGTCTACCTTTTACTAGACTTTAAACAAGCAAAAACTTAACTTCAAAAACTGTCTTGTTAACACAGATTTCTACTGATTTTATCATAAGCAAAAGATTTTAAGGTTGTTTAACACCAGATTTTGGAGCAAGCCTTTATTTGCTATTTGAACAGGAAGCCATGCAGTGTGTGGAAGAGCTGAGCGCCCAGGGCCTGCTACATGTTTTCGTGAGAACGGGAGTGGAGTCCACCCTCGAGAGAAGCCAGATCACCAGGGATCACATGGGCCAGTTGCTTTATCAGCTGGTACAGTCAGAAAAACTCAGCAAGCAGGACTTTTTCAAAGGGTCAGTATCCTCCTCAAGAGTACCATTCAGGGACTGGGGTTGTGGCTCTGTGGTAGAGCGCTGGCCTAGCATGTGAGTCACTGGTTCAATTCTCAGCACCACATATTAAAAATAAATAAATAAATAAATAAAAGGTCCATAATAACTAATAAAAATAATTTTTAAAAAAAGAGTACCATTCAGTAACTAGCCTTCTTTTTCCATACATGAAAATCGTGTCCACTGTAGTATGTTGAGCCAATATAATATATTGATCATACATTGCTTGATTTGATGCTATTTTGTAGATTGTGCTTGTACAGTTATCTTCTGATTTTTCTGTGTTTATTGTTAGACCTGCATCATGATGTCAGTATTGAAGCTGACCTTAGCCTCAGGGAAACTCTGAGCTCTTCATCATCTCATATACATGTAAACCTGCTTATTCTTTGAGTTTATTTTGTGAGAAAAATTCTGGAAAATTGACTTTAAACCTTATCCTTTTAGTAAACCATGGCTATTTGGACCAGAAAGTGCTCGTCTCTCCACAGTAGCCCCATAGCAATGTAACTCCATTTTCTTAATGATTTACACTGTTACAGGTTGACTTCACTATAATTCTAACCAGTGACTGTTGGTGAGATTTGGCTGTCTTTAGCGTTGTATCCCCATTTGAGCAAGTTCTGGCATATTATGGTGCACCTTCACCATAAATGCACAGGTTAGGTTCTTTGTGACTCAGCCACAGAATCTTACCCTGGGTGAGATTTTTAAATCAATGTTCAAGCTATACATGGTCATGCACACCTGAAATCCCAGTGACATGGGAGGCTGAGGCAGGAGGATTGCAAGTTCAAAGCCAGCTTTCACAACTTAGTGAGGCCCTGTCTCAAAATTTGAAAAGGGCTGGGGATGTAGCTAAGTGGTTAAGAAACCTGGGTTCAATCCCTGGTTATGTATAATAAATAAGTACATACCTATGTATGTATAAGTTAGAAAAAAATTTCATATCATAAAAAAATTTGTTTTGATTTTTGGTTACCAAATTTTGCACCAAATATAAGCATAGAATCACGTCCAGCGCTGTCAGATATCCATTCTCTTTAGGTCTAGAGATCAAACTCGAATCTACCATCTTACATTGACTGATGGTGGTATGAATTCCTTGTAAAACTTTTTTGCCAAGCTCATTCTTCCAAATTAAATTCATATATGATGAAATGCCTCTTTGTACCTTTCTGTTGTCATTTCAGATATGATTAATCTCTTAGAATGTAACTATTAAATACCATGTTGAATGTTCTTAGGAGTAGTTAATTTTTGAAAAGAATGATGACATTGTCCTTGAGGCCCGAGAAAATTCATAATTGTCCCAGGATCATTAAGAAATTATCTTTCAGCAATAAGCTGGGTTTATATAAATTAAGGGCCTAGATTAAGGCCATTTGAATCAGTTAACTTAGTAAGAAACTTTAGCAAAGCCAGAATGACGTCCCAGTTTTATGAGAGAAATCTGTGCTTTGCTGCAGTAAACAGCAAGTAAGAGCAAATGAAGGCACCTTCACTCTTAAAATCAAACTAAGGTCTCTGATCCCAGCCAACCTAAAAATAGATACAAGCTCCTAAAATTCACAGTAATGGAATCTTTCTATATCACTTTGTAATGATTTACATTTGTTCCCCAGACTTTCTGGAAATGGGAGTGCTAGATTACTGTTCACTGTGTTCTGTTTCTTCTGACAATAGTCAGAAGTTCCTTCACATCTAGGAAGTGTAGTCTATTTCCAGGTTATAACTGAACTTGCAAAATACTCATTTAATTTCTAGGATTTCAGACAGTTGCATTTCCCTTTTGGTGATTTCCTGAAAGAAAACTGTCATCAGATATGGTGTTTACACTCTCATTAGTGGCAGTACTATTGCTGCTGCTTAGAATAACTACCACAACTACCACCTTTTATTTAAATGGTAAATGAGATCAATATTTCTGTGTCTCAGCAAATCACTTCATCATTTTACATCATTGCTTCCTTCATTGTGGTGGATCCAGGCCTCATCTTTGATAATTAGCTAGACCTTACCTTATCTTTAAATCAAGTCTGTGCAAGTTGTGGAGATATATTTGACAATATAGCACCTACCTTTTCCTAAGATGGAAACAAAAGGATAGCCCCCCATGTCATTATTCATCAAGAACCTTCTTGCAAGAAGCTCAGAATTGCAAAGTCCATACTGTTCAGATAGGTCATTTCATAGGAACCACAGACACTTCCAACACCCAGAAGATCTCTGTTCTTTCAGAATATTATTCAGGATCATCTGAGATTAGGTCCTTTGGGTGTTGCTGCTGAGATGTCAATTTCTGAGCAGTTAAGGAAGCAGTTTCTGCCCAACTCTCCACCCCAGGGATGACCTGGGAAGCATGGGAGAGCAGAAAACTCCAGGTGTCTGGTCCCGGTCCTGATAATATCATCTAATGTTCCCTTCAGGGCATGTACTACTAATAGTGTCCTGAAATAGAAGTTTCATATAGGCTTTATAAGTAAGCCTTAGATTAGCTTCTTTGGAATTTTCCTAAAAGATTCCATATAACTGAGTATAGTAGTTGCTGTATATAAAATTTCCACAAAGATTACATCAAGCCATCCTTTGGGAATTTTCAGGACTTGAATCTAAATACTTCATGAAACAAATTAGGTATATAGGTAGGTAGGTTACTATACATTAGTGTACTGGTTTATTTCTGGGTTTTCTTTCCTATTCCATCAGTTTTGTCACTTCCATGCTGTTTGATTGCATTTGCTGTACAATATGTTTTGAAATCAGGGAGTGTAATGCCTCCAACTTTTGTTGTTTTTGCCAAGATAATTTTTGGGGTCTTTCGTAGTTTTATACAAATTTAAGAATTCTTGGGGCTGGGGTTGTGGGTCAGTGGTAGAGTGCTCGCCTAGCATGCAAGGCCCTGGGTTGGATCCTCAGCACCACAATAAATAAATAAAATAAAGGTATTGTGTCAAATACAACTAAAAATATTTAAAAAAAAAAAAGAAAAAAAAAGAATTCTTTTTTCTAGGGCTGGTGTTGTGGTTCAGCAGTAGAGCGCTCGCATAACGTGTGCAAGGGCCTAGGTTCAATTCTTAGCACCACATAAAAATAAATAAATAAAGGTATTGTGTCCCTCTATAACTAAAAAATAAATATGAAAAAAAAAAAGAATTATTTTTTTCTATTTCTAATGACATTGGAATTTTGACAGGGATTACCATATTGGCTGGTCTGGTCTGGTCTGGACATTTTAACAGTTTTTAATTCTTCTAATCCATGAATTTGAGATATCTTTCCATCTATTAATTTTCTTTAGTTACTTTCATTAGTGTTTTAAAGTTTGCGTTGTGCAGATACATCTTTTACCTCCTTGGTTAAATTTACACCTAAATATTTTTGTTGTTGTTGTTGCTGTTATAAATGGGGGTTGGGGTTGAAGCCCAGTGGTGGAGCACTTGCCTACCTGGGTTCAACTCTCAGCACCACATATACATAAATAAAATACAAGTCCATCAACAACTAAAATAGATAAATATATGTGTGTGTGTGTGTGTGTGTATGTGTGTGTATATATTTATTTATTTATTTTTTTTTTTTTTAAATGGGACTTTCTTTTGTTTTGCAGTACTGACAATTGAACCCAGAGGTGCTTCGCCCAAGCCACCTCCCCACCCCTTATTTTTCAACACAGGGTCTCAGACTAGCCTCAAAATTGTGATTTTCCTTTCTCAGCCTCTCAAGTTACTAGGATTACAGATATGTATCATGACACCTGGCTATACATGGAAATTTTTTTTAATTTACTTTTTGGCAAATTTGTTACTAGTTGATAGAAATGGAACTGGTTTTCTCATGTGCAGCACAGTGGATATGCTGGTCACTGCATACCAAGAGACAAAGATGTGGTGTAGCTCTATTTCATTTCTTCAGCCCACAGAAGATATGTATTATGCAAAGATAATTACGTAGAGCATCTGCATACCTAGGATTTTTTTTTAAATCATGCAAAAGGACTTAGTGACTACAAACATTAAAAAAGAAAGTCCCACAGCTCTGTTCCGTGGAAATCCTTTGTTTAACAAAAAAAAAAAAGTTTCTTATCAGGATTATGTTTTTAACCACTAATTGTATTCTATAAACTGTTCCATTGATGAAAAATAGAAAACTGCTCAGTACTGTAGTCCCAGCAGCTGGGGAGGTTGAGGCAAGAGATCCCAAGTTCAAGGCCTGCCTCAACAACTTAGCAAGACCCTGTCTCAAAATGAAAAACCAGAAGAGCTGGGGACATGGCTCAGTGGTTGAGCACCCCTATATTTAATCCCTGGTACTCCTATAAAAGTGAGGAGGATAGATACAAAACTAAGGCAAGAATATGAGTATCTTATCTTTCACTTATGATGTGAGATGGTCATAATTGATACACTGTTGAAAGGACAGAATGGCTACAGTTATCTCTTGGGTATATTAAATAGCTTAATCTAGAGCCCACAGAATGATGTGGCAGGATCAAGTGATTAACCCAGAAATCCTGGAATCCTGCCTGAAGATGTTCCATAAGTGGTACATTAACAGCTGAAAAGTGTGCATATAATGAGAACAACCAAGTGTCTGCTGCATAGAAAATTGGTGTCAAATAATTGCAAGTGGTGAGGTCAGTAAGTTGACAGTAAGGATTCCTGAAACCGAGTTAGATGATGTGGCTGAGCTATATATTGTTTTGAAATAACGGCTCAAGAGAGGTGACCCTACCTTGTAGTGGGAGCTCTTTTTAAGTGAAAAATTTTAATCCTGTGTAGCCTTCTAAACTGAGTGGCATATTCTGGCTAGAAGCTAGAACTGCAGTGAAAAGGCATGTGCAAATTTAGAGCTCGGAAAGAATATGAATTCAAAATACGGCCAGCTCTTGACCTCTTCATTCATTCCTCCCGTGTGCCATACAATCATGTGCGTGTCCCCTTCACCTCTGTTTTTATAGTTTTAAATAGTGCTATATTCACACAGTTAACAAAGACTTGAATTATTTACACTTCTGAGTGAATAGCTGTTATTTTCAGCCCGAAGAAGGCTGCTTATGTATTGTATTTGACTTTCCTAAGTTTCATGTTTGATTCCCAATTATTTTACTTCACATTAGGAAATATTTATATCATAAAAATCTAAAACCATTAGCTTTTCTTTTGCAGTACAACAGTTATGAGGATGATAATGTTAGTAATATCAGACTCTCTTATATCCATCCAGTTTTCCTGTCATAAGGTCCTCCAGGGCAAGGATTTTTGTCTTTCTTTCTCTTTGTGCCTGGCCTGCATTGCAATGTTTAGTTGGTGCTTCTGACTGACATAGAGGGTATAATGTTAACTTTAAGGTATGAGATTTATTGGATAGCCCTTCACCCAGGACTTTATATACAACTATCTCTGTTTCATTATTAAAATCTTTCAAATGTCACCTCCATACAGAAGTATTTTTGGTTCATGCTCTTGAGAGCATTAGCCCTGTCACAAGTCTCCTTTTGTCTGTTCTGTTCCTTTTCTCCTGCACACCAGTATAAGTTCGTTAAGAATGGCAGTTTGTTTATCAGTCACTTTATGGCCAGACCAGTGCCTGACATAGCAGGTGCTTGATATGTATTTGTTGAGTGACTGATTTTTGGTCTCTTTATTTAATTTTAACTTTTGAATTATATTTGTATTGATTTTTTTTCCTGTTCTTTTTCAGTTTTTTAGAAACCTTGGAATTGGCAGATGACATGGCCATTGATATTCCCCATATTTGGTTATACCTTGCTGAACTGGTGACCCCCATGTTAAAAGAAGGTGGAATCTCTATGAGAGAAGTTATCATGTAAGTTATATTTATTTTGGATGTATATCAAGTTAAACTGACAGAGAACTCACCTGCTGACTTTCTAGCATAATATTGTCCCATTAGTGGCTCTGGAGACTCTTAGATACAGCCTGTGACTCTTTTAGACTTCTAATTTTATTTTGAAGATTTTACTAGATTTACACTAGAGACAGATTGAGGATATGATAGCCCTGTGGTCCATTGCGGGTAGCAGTGGTTATTGATAATGCTCCAGTCATGTCACTGGAAGATGATTGCTTCTAGAAGCTTAATGTTAATCTGGCTGTTGTGCCTGTCATTGTTTCAGTTGTTGTCAGAATTTACATTGTAGTTTGTCATACTGGTACCTGCACAGTACATGTTCATGGTTATAATAAAAGTATTGCTAGATTTGCATGTGTGGGGGGAATGGATACTGCATTATATAGACCAGTACTTCTGTTCTTAAAAACACTAGTATTTCCCCCACAAACTGTTGATACATGAAAATCTGATTCCGCATACTGTTGTGTATGTCCCCACCGCAGCATACCCCCCCCTTTTTTTTTTTTTTCTTTTTGGAGATGCACAAAGTATATGTATTGCGGCACATAATTCAAGTGTATGTATGAGAATCCTATAATAATACAAAACAATAAAAATGATTTAGCTTTGTTTAATTCAGCATTACCTCACATAATCAATGAAAGAATCCTTTACTTTGAGGAATTACTGGAATCATTGCTATCCCATGGAATGCAGTTTGGGAAATACTAATTCAGACTAAAATAATTGGTCCCTTTCTATTTCATCCATATTCTTAAGAAAAGCTTTTCTTTTTACAATACTTTATAACTAAGCTTCACAATTCCATTACCTACAAAGGTACTTCTCCACTTTCAGCTTGAAGTGGAACTTATGTAAATAGATTACTAAGTGAGATTGATCTTTGTGTTGCTTCCGTCACTGAAGTGGCTAAAGAAAAAGACAAAACCCAGAAATTCTAACATCCCTTTTCTGCTTCTCCAGGAAGCATAAGGTGACCCTAAAGTCTCCCAAAGCCTTCTGCTGAAAAGGACTTGGAGCAGTCCTAGAGCTTTGACCCTGCTGACTTTTATTTAGGTTACAAAGTGTCTATTTGTTTGACACACATTTTTGCCTACTACTTTAGCCCGGAGAATTTCTTCAGAGGTACTTAATCACTGCTCCTATCTTTTACAGAGAATTTAGCAAACCTTTACTTCCTGTTGGAAGAGCTGGGGTCTTGCTTTCTGAAATATTGCACCTTCTATGCAAACAAATGGTGAGTGTTCAACTGAGTGTCAGACTCAATAGCATGTTAGAAAGGGCAGTGATCTTGATTGTGTGTTTTCTGTGAACACCTCAGGTCTCAGTGTACAAATAGTTCCATTTCCTTTTAGCCTTTGAACAAAGTGAGGGCTCTGCTTCAACCTTGTTTCCTTTAGAGGTGTATTGTCCTTCTGTTTACCAATGTCTTGGGAAAGAATTTTCTAATCCTAACTAGATTTAGTATAGTTCTAAAGAATCTTAAGATATATTTTATTTGTGGTTGGTAATTTTTCAATGAAAACTGCTCTGCTTTTAGAGTAAGATAGGATTCGTAGAATGATTAGTTTTGTTAACTTTTGGGTCATTTGGATACAAGTCTGATTAAAAAGAATTGTAAAAAAGACTCTGCAGGATGGTGAATTTCTTAAATTCACTTTAGTTAAATATGTAGTGAGTGCATGGTTATTCTCTGCAAAGCTGTCTGCTTGGCTCTCAGTCTACTAAGATTAAACTAGAGAGGGAGATGGATATATCTAAACTAATTATTTCAAAAGCATGTGGAGGTGCTCTATTAGAGGTCAAAGAGGCTGAAGGATGTGTTGTGGCATCCAAAGGGGGATGAAATGTCTTGGAAGAGAGATGTCAAAACAAAACAGAACTCACAAATGAACATTCTGCAGTGATTTCTAATGTACTCAAACCCAAGCCAGAGATATTGGTATGTTTGATTACAGAGTTTCACAGACACTGAGGTTTTTCTTTTTTTTTTTTTTTAAGTCAACGTTCATCTCACTCTGAACCTGCAGAAGTTCTTCTGTACCCTATTTGTGTAGTAGTTATTCATAGACAGATGCACTAAATAGCCTGGCTCTGCTGATTATTTCTATTAATAATATTCTTTAGTTAATGATGCTAAAATTTTTTATTTTACTGAACTCTGTAGTTTTTATGTTTGTAATTCCCTCCTTGGCTATAGTCTTTATTTAAAACTCAAACTCTTCTTAACTTTTATTTTTATAAAAAGAAAACAAATTTCTACTTATAAATTAAACCATATTTTCTTAAACCATAAACTCTGAGCCAGAGAGCCCGATTTCTGTCCAGGCAGTGGGCTTGCACCTCCTCATGTTTTTCCAGCTGATAACAGCTTTGCTCTATTGTGTCTTGGGCTCAACCTTGCACTCCTTGCCCACAAAACACTTCTTATGCCTAGTTCAGGAGCAACAGGTGCCTCTTATAACAGGAAGTATAAATCTGATCTGCGGTAGAGAGGGATTCCAGTGTGGCTTGTGAGTGGCTCTAAAAGCAGGTACATGTACAGAGCCATCTTTCCATCTAGAAAACAGTGTTAAATTTATAAACCTGCATGTATTAGACTCTTTGATGGTCATATTAATAAATCCCAAATACCAGTTTAATGTTTCCCAAATTAGTCATCTGATAAATAAATTATTGAATCTAAATAACTATACTTCAAATATTCACCATTATATTTGTATACATTCAGACCTCTTATTTTGAAAGTCAAGAATCCTAAGAGATTAATGTCATATTAATAAGGAAAGGTTTTCATTTCACTTTTTTTTTTTTAAGATCCTAGGGATTGATCCCAGGAGTACTCTACCACTGAGCTACATCTGCCACCCCTTTTAAATTAGATTGTGAGATAGGATCTTGTCAAGTTGCCAGGTTGGCATTGAACTTGAGATTCGCCTGACTTAACCTCCCAAATCACTAGGATTATACCCATGCACCACTGTACTTGGCTCATTTTTCACTCTTTAGGGTTCTACGTCCTTGACCTCAAGCAAGCTTTTTTTTTCCTCCTTCTTCTACTTCCAATGTAAAAATTAATGGATTGGATTTATCTCTCTTTTAGAGCCATAAGAAAGTGGGCGCCTTATGGAGGGAGGCTGATCTCAGCTGGAAGGACTTTTTACCTGAAGGGGAAGATGTACATAATTTTCTCTTGGAGCAGGTGGGTAAGAACAAGACTTATATCTTTTTGTTGTTGTTTGTACCAGAGATTGAACCCAGTGGGGCTTAATCACTGAGCCGTATTCCCAGCCCTTTTTATTTTTTATTTTGAGACAGGATCTTGTTAAGTTGCCTCGCTAAGTTGCTGAGGCTTTTGAACTTGTGATCCTTCTGCCTTAGTCTCCCAAGCTGCTGGGATTGTAGGCATGTGCCACTGCCCCAGGACTGTCTTCCATATGATAGCAGTTGGTCTGTTTCATAGAGGAAAGGAAGATAATTTCATTAGTATTCTGGTATTAAGATTAGATCAAAATAATAATCTTAGTTAAGATATCATCTTAAGTACATGTTTTAAGGGCACTCTCCAACTGTACAGTCATTAGAGGAAAGATAAAAGGTATGGAGAAATTTTAAAAGACAGACACACTTAGAAAATGAGCTAAATAGCCAGGCGCAGTGGCACACATCTAGAGTCCAGCTATACAGAAAGATCACAAGTTCAAGGCCAGCCTTAGCAATTTGAAGCCCTAAGCAACTTAATGAGACCCTTTCTCAAAGACAGAATAAAAAGGACTGAGGAGGTAGCACCCCTGTTTTCAATCTCCAGTACCATATCTCTAAGAACCTGAAATGAAACTGATAAGTAAACCAGGGTGATAGTACTAAAGAAGATCTAGGTGTACTGAGCTCTGGGCCTGGGAAAGGCAGAAGAAGCATGAAATTACTCTTTTGGTAATGGGAAATAGAATGCCCTTTACCAGATAGAGGCCTGGAGATAGGTCTACTTCTTGAAACTTCACAAATAAATAATTTCAAGAAAGTGGAAACAATCATAGCACTAGTATCGTAAGCTGGCCTGCCTGCAATCTTGATAACTGGATCCAGAAATCTACAAGGTAGAGGACTGCAGGATTGATTTAGTCTGGCCCTAAACAAGTAATTTGGGAGAAGGGAGAGTGGTCTGGGTAGAGGCAACTATAAAACTGTTAGACCAAGGAAGATGAGAGAGAAAGAAAACAAAACTCTCTCAAAATGATCTTGCAAGTCAAAGTAGTTGAACACTTGAGGAAGACTAAAGCTAAGGAAGGTAATAAATCAGCAGTAAGAAGAAAAAAATCACTATAGGTAAAAAAGAATAAGAAAGTAATCAGAAGATGACCTTAAAATAAATGTATCAAGCTGGGCATAATGAAACACACCTGCAGTCCCAGCTACTCAGGAGGCTATGGCAGAAGGATCATTTGAGCCCAGGATTTTGAGGCTAGCCTGGGCAATATAGCAAGACCTGTTCTTGGATATAATGCAATGGGGGTATAACTCTGTGGTAGAGCACCTCTGAGTTCAATCCCTAGTTCAAAAAACAGTAAAGTAAGTATATTGTTGTGGGTAAAGACAGCGTACTAGTTTGCCATGGTAGCTTTCATTTGGGTTGGTAGGTAGCTTTCATTTGGGTTGTGGAAATAAATGGAGGAGCTACTGCCAAACAGTAGGAACCTGTGGAAAGCACAATTTCGGATGCACTTTTGGGCTCCCAGAAAGTAGACAAATTCTCTTTCAAGAGATTAAAAATAAGAGGAGGGGAGGGAAAAGCCAGAGAGGAAACCTGAATTCTGAGCAGTAAGCACATGTGAATACCATGTTGCCCGAAGAACAAATGCCAGAGATTGTGGAAGAAGCTGAGTTGGTTCAGTTCAGCATTACCCTGGCTCTAGAAAGAGCAAGCCACAGTGCTCTTTAGAGAAAACATCCTTAACATTGGTCTGCCCCCATACTTTTTTTTTTTTTTTTTTTAATATTTTATTTACATTTTAGTTTTCGGCAGACACAACATCTTTGTTTGTATGTGGTGCTGAGGATCGAACCTGGGCCGCACCCATGCCAGGGGAGCGTGCTACTGCTGGAGCCACATCCCCAGCCCCTGCCCCCACACTTTTTATCCCCCCACAAATACACATTACCTAATATATGGCTTAACCCTTGTAGAGTTCATGTAGTGTACAGTGAAATGAGTCACCATGAATGAGATCAAATAAATAAGCAGAAAGTGGTAGATTTAGACTCCAATGACTTGAGGTAATGAAATTATCTATCAATCAGAGTATAAAATATCTCTATATAAAAGAGAGGGAATCTCCCAAATGAGCAATCAAGAAACCACTAATCAGAACAACTGAAGAGGTTTTTTAAAAAGTGAATACAAAAACTAGCTGGGTGTTGTGGTACACTCCTGTAATCCCAGCCACAAGAGAGGCTGAAGCAGGAGGATTGCAAGTGCAAGGCTAGACTAAGCAATGTAGCGAGACAGTGTCTCAAAAGTAAAAAATAAAAACTAAAGAAAACTTTACAGTACAGTTTGTTGCCTTCTTCCTTAAAAAGTCACTAATTTTGGATGGATGGTGCTGGGAATTGAACCCGGGGATGCTTTACTTTTACTGCTGAGCTACCTGAGCTATAGACCCTGCCTTTTTTTTTTTTTTTTTTTTTTTTTGGAGACCTGGTCTTACTAAATTACAGAGGCTAACCTCAAACATGCAATCCTCCTGCTTCTGTGTCCTAAGTGGCTGGGATTACAGGTGTGGACAACCCCACCTGGCACCAGTAATTTTGATTATAGACTTGTTGTTAAAGAAATAGTATTGCCCAGTCTGGCCCCAAACTCCGGGTCTCAAGTAATCTTCCTCTCTCAGCCTCCTGAGTAGTTGGAACTGTGGTGTGTACCACTAATGCCTGGTTTACGGAATTTTTTTAGAACTACCTAAGAGTTAAACAATTTATAGGATCATTTTCACACTTGGATTCAGAATGGTCTGGAGGTATTTTAAGAATTTAAAGCCAAACCATGGGGTATGACAACTCTATAGTGATACTAATATTGAACCAATGGTTACATACCGAATGGAAGTTAAATTATGCCCTTGCCTAGGACTCACACCCAGCTTTAAAGAGCTGTGTTCCTACCCAAGATTGAAGTTCATAATGATTTGGAGGTAAGCATATCCTGAGGGGCAATTATAGCAAGCTTGTTTGTTTGCCTATTTTTATTTTTTTAACAGAGAATCAGATAAAACTTATGAAAAATTAGAGAAATCTTCTGAATAATAATAGAGTGATGGTCTTTGAAAACTAAAAATATAAATATCTTCTGCTGATCTTTTTGATCCCTGTAAAACAGAAAGTATAGCCTGTGGCTTTGTTTTCCTCTCGGGATGATAATATTGTACTACATTAATTTGTTTTACATTTTATGTTTCAGAAGTTGGACTTTATAGAGTCTGACAGTTCCTGTTCCTCTGAAGCACTTTCAAAGAAAGAACTCTCTGCTGAAGAACTCTGTCAGCGCCTTGAGAAACTCATTATTGAGGACAAAGCAAATGATGAACAGATCTTTGACTGGGTAGAGGTATAGAGACCATGTGATCCTCTCTGCCATAGAGATAAGGAAGGTTCTTGTGTGACCCTCTCAATTCACACACCATATCTTTTCCCTTTGTGAGAGTTTTTAAAAAGAAAAGATAAAAACATAATAATTGAGCTCACACTACATAAAGATGTTTGTTACTTTTATCTAATCCTAACATTAGTAAATCTGTTTATCTCTTAGCAGGTCTGTCTTTCCTATTGACCTTGTTTGTTAATATCTTTTTTTTTTTTTTTTTTTTAGGTTTAAGTGGACACAATATCCTTATTTTACATTTATGTGGTGCTGAGGATCGAACCCAGTGCCTCATGCATGCTAGGCAAGCACTTTACCACTGAGCCCCAGCCCTATTATATTTTTTTTTAATATATAATATTTATTTTTTGGTGTAGATGGACACAACACAGTGCATTTTATTTTTATGTGGTAGTGAGGATCACTCTACCGCTGAGCCACAATCCCAACCCCAATATCTTTTCTTAATCTGTAGTCTTCTCTTCATTTTTCTTCAGGTCTAGTCTATTCTTTGATTCTAGAATTATAATATTTGGCTCTGTTTCATAGAAGAAATATGCAGTTGATATTTTTATAACAGAAGAAACAGATTGTTTGAAGGGGTATTTATTATGTAATTACATTTAGGTAATTAGTTTATTTTTCTCAAACAGTGCTTAAAATCTAATCCTTTGAGAATTTTAATTGATATTCAGTGTTTGAAATTGCTCTGTCAAGCCAGGCATAGTGACCCACACCTGTAATCCCAGAGATTTGGGCCAGCCTAGGCAATTTAGCAAAATTCTGTCTCAAAGTAAAAAATAAAAAAGGGTTGGAGAGGGCTGGGGCTGGGGCTTAGCTGTAGAGTGTTCGCCTAGCACGCGTGAGACGCTGGGTTCCATCCTCAGTACCACATAAAGAATAAATGAATAAATAAAGGTATTGTGTCCAACTAAAACTAAAAAAAAAAAAAAAAAAGAGTTGGAGATATACCTCTAAGTTCTATCCCCAGTTCCAAAATGAGATTGCTCTGTCAAACTGTTTATTAAGTATTGTTTGATTAAAAAAGTAAGGGAACATTATTATTTTCTCATTTCTTCTTCAAAAGTAATTGTTTAGCCTTTGCAGAAATAACTCTGAGGTTAGACTAGTCTGGCTTCAACTCAAAATATTTTTAAAAAGGAATAAACCAGGAACTAGCTATAACACATAAATGGTCATGAAACATTGTACACATGGCTTTTGGCACTTTCTCCTGCCCTGCATCACCTCCTCTGCTGCCAGTTCTAGTGCCACACATTTCTGTTCCGAGGGAGACTGGTTGTGAAGCCTCTGGCTGGAGCACAGTCCTCCGTGGCCACTGTACTGCTGCCCAGAAGAGCTAGCCATGTCACTCAGGCTTTCCGTCCACTCTGTTCCCACGGAGCCATCAGTTCTTCCCAACTGATGATGGAGATTAGGCGTTACACAAAGAGAACTGCTAGTTCATCTACTTCAGTCTTAAAATTCATCAGCACTGGGCTGGAGGCGTAGCTCCGTTGTAGAACACACTTAGGCATGAGGCCTACACTCAATCCTAGTGCCAAAAAAACAAAAATTCATCAATACTAAACTTATCTCTAAATATCTTTGAAATCCTTAACTTTTCAACCCAGCAGTTTATAACAATGTCTTTAATTTTCCCTGGCTAGTCATTTCAAGCTTGACCCTCTCCACGGCAAGTACCATACATATACTCTATTCAAAGAAGCTGAGACAAGCTTTAATTTTTTCACAGGCATAAGGAACATAAACATTGAAAAATACTTAAAATACCTGCCCCCGAAAATGTCTCCTCATCACATTAAAGTTAAAATGAAAGAGCAGTGTTGGCATGTACACACAGAACTGCACAGTGCTGAGGAATACTCCCCTGCAGCTGTGGTGTGCTAGCTCCTAAATTATAGACCTGGCTAGATCATTAATACGGATTATTTATTGAGGAATCATGTTTTTACTTGGCTTCAAATACACATGATAAGTCCTCTAAGACCTAAATACTGCTACTGGGAATATTTTCACATAGAACTGGCCGTAGCCAAACTATTTTAAAATGAATCGAAAATTTAATGTTTGCAAGGATGTGCAAAAATGTGACTCTGTCTGTCCTTAGTGCCAGGTTAGCCCTGGTTTGGGGAAAATAATTTCTCTGGTATGCAAGGGTACATTTAACTGTTTTTTGTTTTGCCTTTTTGTTTGTTTGTTTGTTTAAACTTAAGGCTAATCTAGATGAAAACCAGATGAGTTCACCTACATTCCTTAGAGCTTTAATGACAGCCGTTTGTAAAGCAGCTATTATAGGTAAGTGACATTTCTGGAAGTAGGTTTTATTTATTTATTTTGTGTGTGTGTGAGAATGTAAAATTTATTTGCTCATTTCTTGCATTTGAAGTACTCTTCTGAAAGTAGGTTTTAGTATCTGAAATCGTTATTATTTCCACTACTGATTATATAGTCTGATTTTTTATTGTCTTCAAATCTTGTCCTGTATAGCTCAGTTTTTGTGCAAATTTCTGTCTACCCTGCCTGACCATCTCAAATATGGGACAAATAGATGCTCTTGTCTCCAAAGAATCCAATTTTAGCAGCTACTATACACCTTGTATTCTACAATTCAATAAGTTGTTGCATACATCCAGGGGTGGGAAAGTTTGTACTTTGTTGTATGTGGCTCCCCTGCCTGTCCTAGTGCTGGGGATGGAACCCAGGGCCTCACTCATGCTAGGCACCCACACTTCCACTCAGCTACATCCCAGTCCACATGGAGCTTTTTCCTAATCTATTCACCTCCATCATTCAAGACTTCAAGACCACCTCCTTCCATTTTGGAGTTATAATGAAAGGGGTTCAGTATTCTTAACCTAATCGACGGAGGGCTTTCTCATCAGGAAAGTCACATTTTATAATAAATGCCCATATAAGGAAAGAAAATACCAGCATTTTCTCCTGCTCTGTGTTGACTTTATTTTATGGGAATTGACATTTTTATTGGATATTTATGAATTATGTAGGTGAGATAAAATTAGGATTGGTAGAAGCCCTAAATATTCCTTATTATTTAACAGTATTTATGAGGACATCAACTTAGCTTTAGGTGGAAATCCACATTTTTGGCACTCAAGAAAAAAAATCTTATCAGTTCAAGAGTTGTCTCAGAATTTCAAGTGTTTGTCATTCCACAAGTAAGCTCTCTGGGGCTGGGGTTGTAGCTCAGTGGCAGGGCACTTGCCTAGCATGGGTGAGGCACTGGGTTCAATACTTAGCACCACATAAAAATAAAATAAAGACATTCTGTTCATCTACAACTATAAACATTTTACAAAAGAAAAAAAAAGCTGCTGGGGGTGGTGGCACATGCTTGTAATCCCAGTGGCTTTGGAGAATCAAGAGTTCAAAGTTAGCCAACTCAGTGAGACCCTATCTCTAAATAAAATGCAAAGTAGGGCTGGGGATGTGGCTCAGTGGTCGAGTGCCCCTGAGTTCTATCCCTGGTTATCCCCTTCCTCCACAAAAAAAGAAAGCTTCTGGCCATGCCTGTTATCCCAGCAGCTAAGGACGCTGTCAGGAAGATCAAAAGTTCAGGGCAAGCCTCACCGTCTTATCAAGGTCCTAAGCATCTTGTCAAGACCCCTGTCTTTAAATAAAAATAGTAAATGCTGGAGATGTAGCTCAGTAGTAAAGCATCCCTGGGTTCAATCCTCAGTACCAAAAAAAGAAAGACTTTCCTGCCACTTAATTTAACTTCAGAATTTTAATTTAAGATTTTCTGTACGGTGAATTGTTTTCAAAGTGAGTTTTAATTGTTTTCAAAGTGAGTTTTAAGTGAAAGAGTTTTTTTTTTTTTTTAAGTTGTAGGTGAACACAGTACGTTTATTTTATTTTTCTGTGGTGCTGAGTATCAAACCCAGTGCCTCACGTGTGCTGGGCAAGAGCTCTACCACTGAGCCACAACTTCAACCCCTCAATGTGAGTTCTTTAAGGACATAAGTCACAAGCTATGTAGAAAGAATTCGTAAAATTTTTAAAATGGAACCATAAGACCTCCCCATTTTAAAACATCAAGGTTTAGGCCAGGTGTGGTGGCCTGTGCCTGTAATCCCAGCTCTTATGAGACTGAAGCAGAGGGATCACAAGTTTGAGGCCTACTTTCTAGCCCAGGGCCTTGTAAGGGCTCTAACCACTGAGCTCTACCCCAGACTTCTAATTTCCTTTTATAATGTTGCTTAAAAGTACTCACTTGAATTCCTATTATTATTATTATTCCCTGGATTTAATTCTCAATACTGAAAGGGAGTGAGGAATTAATCAAGGTTGAGGAGTGCAGAAGCTGCTTTAAAAACCATATTGGAGCTAAGGATTTGGCTCAGTGTTAAGCACTTGCCTTGAATATATGAGGCCCCAAGTTCAGTCCCCAGCACTAAAAAAAAATAAAATAAAATCCCCCAAATCCTAAATTGTATCCCATGATAACTTCAACAGAGAATAGAAAATCTCATGCTTCTTGGCACTGAGGATGCTTTCCTCAGCCCCTTTTTATATTGCTTTTATCTCAAAAGGCATAGATTGAGGGGTTTGTTTGGGGTATTTTTTTTTTTAAGAGAGAGAATTTTTAATATTTATTTTTTTAGTTTTTGGTGGACACAACATCTTTGTTTGTATGTGGTGCTGAGGATCGAACCTGGGCCGCACACATGCCAGCAGAGCGTGCTACCGCTTGAGCCACATCCCCAGCCCTGTTTGGGGTATTTTTGTTTTGTTTTGTTTTTTCCTCCACTATCATAATAGTCTTTTTCCTCCTAGGAATAATAAAATGGTCCCAACTCTTGTATTCTTCTGGAAAGATTTGGATGAACTGCCACTTTAATTTTCTTTTTTTTTTTTTTTTGTATGTGTGCATATGTGCATGTATGTAGTAATGGCAATCCTTGTGCATGCTAAGCAAGCACTCCACCACTGAATTATATCCACAGCCCCCTCCCCATTTCCTGTTTTAATGTTGCTTTTTTTAATGCATTCACTTGAATTAATATTTTTTATTTTACTAAAAATCTTATAACAATACTTTTATGGACTACAATATAAAATTTTGATATGTTAACTTTCCACCAAAGTGACAAAATACTTGGGGGAAAAAAATCAAGAGAAAAGGTTTATTTGCCTCACGATTGCAGAGTTCTTGTTTGCTTGGCTCCATTTGTTTGGACCTGTAATGAGGCACAGCATCATAATGGGGAGCACAAGATATGGAGCAAAGCTGCTCACTTCGTGGTGGCTGGAAGCAGAGAAAGAGAAGGGTATGGGCTCCCCATGTGCCCTTTAAGGCTGGCAACCGAGCCTTTAACATATGGGACTTTAAGGCACACTCCATACCCAAACTAGAGCAGTTTGTCTACAGTGTGGAATGATTAAATCAAACTAATTAATATATCCTTTTTGTATCTTTTTCATGGTGAGTCATTTGATTAATATTGCTTTTGTAGGTTGTTGTAAAACTACTGTCACTTTTTCATTATAATTAAAGATAAATAATTGGGTGCACTATTCTTGAAGGATACAAGAATTCAAAATGCATCTCTCCTCCATGTTTTTATTATTTTTGAGATAATATCTTATTAAAAATGTTAGAGTATTTGGATTTCAGAATCTTGTCTTGGAGCCCCTTACCTCCTCTTTCTGTACAAAGCCCTTTGGGTACTATTGTCAAAAAACTGAAAGTGGTTCTGTGTGTTAATTCCTTAAGTATAATGCCTACTTCCTCTATTTCCTCTAGCTGACTGTTCTACCTTCAGAGTGGACACTGCTGTTATCAAGCAGAGAGTGCCGATTTTACTCAAGTACCTAGACTCAGATACAGAGAAGGAACTGCAAGCACTTTATGCACTACAAGCATCAATAGTAAAACTTGATCAACCTGCCAGTAAGTTTGCCTCATGTTGTTATAAATTAACCAAACTAGTGGGTGAGATTTATCCAGACCAAGACTTCAGAGGTGAGTGAGGATTTGAAGATGGGTAATATAAGAATCACTAACTAGTAACAAAAACTCAGCCAACATCTTAAACATATCTGATATTGTTTATTTGTTTCATTTTTATTTTTGGAGACAGAGTCTTACTGTGTTATACTAGCAATCCTCCTCCCTCAGCCTCCCAAGTAGCTGGAACTATAGCCACATGCCACTGTAATGGGCTCCAAATTGAATTTCTTACAGACTTATATGAGAAAATGTCAAAAAGAGCCAGGCACAGAAGTGCATTCCTGTAACCCCAGCTGTTCAGGAGGATCATGAGTTCAGAGCCAGCCTCAGCAGCTTAGTGAGGTCCTAAGCAATTCAGCAAGACCCCGTCTATAAATAAAATATAAAAAAGGACTGGGGATGTGGCTCAAGGGTTCAGTTCTTGTTACCAAAAAAAAAAAAAAAAAATGCCAATAAGAAAACTAGTTTAGGGCTGGTATTGTAGCTCAGTGGTAGAGCACCTGCTTAGCACTTGTGAGGCACTGGGTTCGATTCTCAGCATCACATATAAATAAATAAAGATCCATTGACAACTAAAAAAATATATTAAAAAGAAAACTAGTTCATATTAGAGATTTAATACTTACTTTAGAGGAGATCTGACATGTTAAGGCACTGGGTTCAATCCTCAGCACCAGAGAGAGAGAGAGAGGAAGAGGGAAAGAGAGAGAGGAAGGGAGGGAGGGAGGGAGGAAGGAAGGAAGGAAGGAAGGAAGGAAGGAAGTTGTGTTCATCTACAACTAAAGAACTATTTTTCAGGGCTGGGGATGTGGCTCAAGCGGTAGCGCGCTCACCTAGCATGCGTGCGGCCCGGGTTTGATCCTCAGCCCCACATACAATGATGTTGTGTCCGCCAAAAACTGAAAAATAAATATTAAAAAATTCTCTCTCTCTCTCTCTCTCTCTCTCTCTCTCTCTCTCTCTCTCTCTTTTTAAAAAAAAAAAAAGAAATATTTTTCAAAAAATGTTTCTGGGGTTGGGGACATAGCTCAGTTGGTAGAGTGCTTGCCTTGCATGTTCAATCCCCAGCCATCACAAACAAAAATGTTTCTGTACCATTAGTTATGGTAATCATGCCAGTGTGCCATACAAGCATTTAAGTGGGGCAGTCATGACTAAGAAACTGAATTTTTCATTTTACTTAGTTTAAATAGCTACATGTGGCTAGTGGCTACCATATTGGACAACTCAGGTCAAGGGCATGAAATTGGTGAATAGTCTCGAGAGTAATACTTTCCAGAATGCTCAGACATCCAGCAAAAACCTTAATTATAACCATGGCATATTTAACAAAGTATTTTAGAATAATTTTCAGTTACGAGTTACTCATTCTTGGCTAACCAGACAAATAAGGTAGCCTGAACACACCCTAGTCTTAATGATACTGGTAAATTGATAACTCTATTGAATCTTAGAAGATTCTTTTAATATTTTGTGACAGCTGGTACACGTTTGTTTTAGAGATGGCACTGAAAAGTAGTTCTTGGGCACTTCTTTGTTGGGATGTTTGCAAAAGTTTTGCTTCTTTCCTGGAGCTGCTGAATCGCTCCAGGAGATACAGGAACAGATTAAAACAAATTATCCTCAGAGTGCAAGTGAAGAGCCATCTAAGTCTGAATCAGAAAATATGATTATTTTTTCCTTCTCTCAAGGTCTTTGAAAGGTCATTTAAATTCCTAGCTTCCTTTTCTATATTGTTATAGGAAGAGGACCTTACTTGTCAAATGAGATATCAAATGGTTGGATGAAATTGATGCTATATGCTTAGCCAAATTAAAATGTCTTCTATAATTACCATAATTCCATAAGTCATCCCTGGAGAGCTGTTAGTTTTAGATTTACCAGCAACAGAATTGTGGCCACTGGTTTCCATTTCCCTATAGACTAACCAGAGTTTTAGAAAAAGAAAAGTGATCCATCATTAATCTGAGTGATTAGAGAGCTGATAATAAATGATTTTTTTTTTTGCAGTGATGTATATTGAACCCAGGACCTTATACATGGCTAAACAAGCACTGTAACACCTTCTAGCCCCAAGGAATTTTTTTTTTTTTTTTTTTAGAATAATAAATGTAATTTTTATTCTGGCTTAATGCCTCTACCAACTTACTTTCTCTCCCCCCACCCCCGTTTTTTCTTTCTTTCTTTCTTTCTTTTTTTTTTTTTCCTTTTTGGTACCAGGAATTGAACCCAAGAGCTCTTAACTATTAAGCCACATCCCTCCAGCCCTTTTTAATTTTTATTTAGAGACAGGCTCTCACTAAATTGCTGAGGCTATCCTTGAATTTGTGATCCTCCTGCCTCAGCTTCCAGAACCACTGGGATTATAGGCCTGTGCTACAATAAGTTTCCACTCTCTGAGCAATATAGAGAATTAAAATTACTCAATTTGGACATTTAAAACAACAAATAACTTACGTTCGATGGATAAAAATCCAGATGAGATAGCTTTTGCCCATGTTTTTCGTATGAATGATCACTCTTTTCATTTTTAAAACACAGCATTTGAAGGGGAAAAGAATTTACCCTGCCTTTTTCCCCCTAATATTTGTTAAAATTATACTGCAGACTTTCAAAAAATGAAAAAAAAATCTATAAAGAAAAAAGTAAAAAGAAAATTTAAAAAGAAAGTGATAAGTACTCATTTTTATTTTTCAATGTGTTTAGATTGAGAACTTTGGCTTTACCAATATTAGAAAATAGTTTAAATTGAATGAACTAGTAGGAATAAAAAATAATTTAGGCTGCTTAAATGGTCTTTTACTCCTTGTTGGATAAGGAGTTGTGTAGGGTTGGTGTTCTTTGCTGTCGTTTGTGGGGCTGGAGCTGAAGCTGGACTCTTCACATGGACTGCATCCGTATGTAGCCCAGCTGTCCTGTAACAGTGATTATTTTTTTTAATTATTATTTTTTTTTAAAGTTAGACTTTATTGAGAGAGAGAGAGAATTTTTCAGTACTTATTTTTTAGTTCTCAGCGGACACAACATCTTTTTTTTTTTTTAATGTGGTGCTAAGGATCGAACCCAGTGCCCCGCGCATGCCAGGCAAGCGCACTACCGCTTGAGCCACATCCCCAGCCCCCTGTAACAGTGATTATGATGAATGTTGTTGATGCTCTTTTCTGGGAGAATGAATGTGCTTTCATTCATTCATTGCTCTTCCTCAAAAGTACAGTGTCCCAAAACTGATAGCTTATTTTGAAACCCTTACAGATTTGCTACGAATGTTTTTTGATTGCCTGTATGACGAGGAGGTGATCTCTGAGGATGCCTTCTACAAATGGGAGAGCAGCAAGGACCCTGCAGAGCAGAATGGGAAGGGCGTGGCCCTGAAATCTGTCACTGCGTTTTTCACATGGCTGCGGGAAGCAGAAGAGGAGTCTGAGGATAACTAAAACTTCAAATACACAAAACGAAACAAAAGAAACAATTTAAGTATTTTTTTAAAAAGTTTCACGTCTTCGCCAATCACAGTGCAGCAAGGCCAATTCTCGCAGAAATCCCCACGTGTGCACGAGTGGGAGAGGGGAAAGAGAACAAAGGTGATCATGGAGGAAAAAGGTACTGGAAACAAGTAAACTTCCAACCTGAGGGCGGGAGCACTAAAACCAAAATACATGTATTATTTATAGAAAATATTTTCTGTTTTAATCTTTTCTTTTTAAACAAGGACTCATACTTAAAAACACATTTAGCAAAAAAAAAAAAAAAAAAAAAAAAAAGTTGAACTTTTAATTTATTTTAAGGACTGCAAATGCCAGTGTGTAATTTTTTAATTTGCAGTTTCTGTAAACAACTTGTATAATAGAAAAGCAGAGAAATAAATGTCCCTTCCCTTCATATGCACCTCACGTTTGTTTTAAGGCATAGTAGTTAGTCCAGATTTGAGAAGGTTTGGGGTAAACAAGGTAAGAAAGATTTCTCTCTCTCTCTCTGTCTCTTTCTCTTTTTCTTCTTCTTTTTTTTTTTTTTTTTTTTTGGGCATCAAATCTTTCTGCCTGCCTCTCAGCTTGCTTCAGAAAATTAAAAAAAAAAAAAAAAAATCACAATAGTAATCAAAACATACATAACCTTGGAACAGAAGGAAATGCTGTGGACCAGAGAACTCCAAGATTGTTCAAAAACAAAAAGTGCTACCCTGGAAAAAGTACTCTTAATACTTTTGAAATCTTTAGAGCAACTTTAAGGCTTGTAAATACATAGAACAAATATTTAAAAAAAAAGAAGAAGAAGAAGAAATTGACTCAATACTATTTCTTTTCACTTTCAAAATATAAAGAACAAAATAAAGACAAACATTGCAAGTTTAAATGAAAGTAAAGCGACTTCTCCTTTTGACAGTTGTTGCATGTGTGCCCATCCCTGGGAGGTGCTATCTGGCTATTCATTATCTAATCGAAATCATTCCTGAGGAGTGTGGTATGTGTATGTGTGTGTGTACATGTGTATGTCTCTTTAGTTCACAAATGAAAGCTATTTTGTGGATAGAGAGGGCATTTGTGTTTGGGTGGGGATGCTCTTCTGGGAGTCCAGGAAAAACTTGAAACTCCAGCTTAGAGATACACTTTAAGTAACAGCAAACCCAAGGTGACTTTTAAAATGACAAATTCCCCATTGTGTATCAGGGTACTATTTTACTTTGAGATTACCACTACCACTGATTTTTTAAATTTCCTCTCAATTGCCTGGAATATTTAGGAAATCCAAAGACGTCTTCTGAAGAATGAGGGGGGCACCTAAGTTATGCTTTTTCGTGGGGGTGGGTTTTAAAACCAAACTAGTACCATATGTGGAAGATGACATTGCTCCCCAGCTCCAGCTCCATGCAGGCCATACTGGTGAGTATAAAGCCAATTTAAGAAGAAAACCGGGCTACTTCCAAATAAATAGTCTTTATATTTTGTATCTGGATAACCAGAGATTTCTGTCAGCTTCCATAAAAAAACATCCAGAATAAGACTTGTAAAACATAAGAACAAAATTTCTCAAGGAATAAAAAAAAGGTTTTTCACCAGTGTAATTGAATACAATACAGAATCCTCCTATATGTAAGCCCACTGAGACCATTCTGTGTGGTGAAGAACTGAGTCTGGAAAGTCTCTTGACAAACTTGTGACAATACTGCCATAAGAGATGAGGCCTGAGAAGTTGTTTGGGGTCTGGATGCAGGCCCTGCCTGGGAACCTTCAACTGGAAGCAGCAATCCAGGTCTAGGATATACTAAGTTTTAACTGCCTTAGAATCAAATTCAGAGAATTCTGATCCAGGAATCTCCTGAATAACAGGTTTTTAGAAGACTATTAACAACATTCACTGGGGGTGTGGGGTGGGGAGTTAGAGAAGGCAACTGGCGACTGCCTCTTGGGAGTCAGTGACTGTCATTTGCAGGGATCTAATCAGGAAGGACTTTCAGGTACTAGAGATGGCCTATTCGTAATATTTTAGATATAGACAAGTGTTAGAAGTGGAGGAAAGAAATATTTTTAGAAGGAAAAAAGGGAAGAAAAATCTTAAAAGATATAAACATTCATAGTACAATAACAATATTTGAAATCTCACCTGTAGCAGGAAGTATGATGAGGAGATTACAGAGAACTTTTGGTTTAGCTTGTTGCTGTATACAGGGAATGAAGTGGCCAAATATGGGCTGGAGTTGTAGCTCAGTGGTAGAGCGCTTGCCTAGTATGTGTGAGGCACTGGGTTCAATCCTCAGCATCACATAAAAATAAATAAATAAAGGTATTGTGTCCATCTATAACCAAAAAAAGAAGAAGAAGAAGAAGTGGCCAAATATGGCAAAGTGAGATCATTGCTCCCTACTGAGTCCTACTGAACTGTGAGGTATTGTACTGAGTGTTCCCTCCTGTCTTCTTGCTGGAAAGCAGGGTTTGATGGATTTTGTTTCAAAGAAATAGCATCATTGGCAGCCTGTACTCCTTCAAGATGTAGCAAATGTGCTGTTATGCAGGTATAGTACTTTTGTAACTAATTTAGGTGTCTGTGGTTATATTCTAGCCAGTTAACTTATGGGTACATTGTAACAAGTAAAAGTTTGGTCATTTTGGCCAAAGGAACATGATGCCAAAATAAACTCATTGTACATTCTTTCATAGACCAATAAGTTAGTCACAGCTGCATCGTGTACTAGTTTTAGTCAACAAATACTTAAAGGATAGAGGTTTAGCTCAGTGGTCAAACCCATACTTAGCATGGGTGAAGCCCTGGGTTTAATCCCTAGCTCTGCCTCAAAAAAACAAAACAAAAAAATACATGTACTGAGTATGGAGTGTGACAGTGCTGTAGCCCTCTGATCTCTTGGAGCTCCTGTTCCTTATGGAAACAAAACTAGAGGTTAACACGCTGCATAAGACCCTCCCTTGGCAAGTGTCTGTTCCTTATTCTGGTACATCTTTGGTTTGTTTTTTGTCTCCCATTTGCAACAATTAAATCCAAAAGCAGCTTTTGAGCTACTCTCCAAACAAGTTTTCATTTGGGGCTTTTTGACACATCCTTTCGTTTCAGATGACTCCATTCAAGTCAAAAGGATTTAAGCTGGGGACAGAGAACAGGCTGTTGGATCCAGCTCTGTGTTTTCATCACTCAGGGTTTGTTCTTTAAAAGAAGAAAAGAGGAATGATCCAGCTTTTCAGTTTTGATCATTGTTGGCACTTCCTCCTGTGTGCCTCATTTTGGAGAGAGTAACCTTTTGCATTGCTTCTATTTGTTTGCATTTCTATTTCTTATTGAGTTACAATACCACACTATAAATTCACCCTTGTAGAGGGCACAATTCAGTGGTTTTATCATGTTCAAAATTGTGCAGTCATCACCATTGTCTTAATTTCAGATCATTTTCCCCTCAGAATATAATCCCATACCCATTAGCATTCACTCCCCATTTGCCACTCTCAGCCCCAGAGCTGGTAATCACTGACCTACTTTTGTTCAGGGACCTGACAGCAGGGATTAGGCCCTGAATTTTCCTTCTTTAAGTACGAGTGTAAATTAAAAAAAAAAAAAAAAAAAAAATCAATACTTTTGGTGGTTGTACAGAAACCCCAATAAATAATAAAAAAGAGTTTGCAAAGCCATTAGCCTCTGTTTGCAACACAGAAAATGCATGTCAATTCTGGACCAAAATAATTTCATTGAAATACTAAAAGTGATATGGAAGAATTAAAAGAGATTTGCAGCAACTGTTTTTAGTGGTCAGCTACAACAAACCAAACTAGCAGCTATTTTGTTCATCAAGAGTAGGTTTTAATTTACAGTTAAAGAGTGTCTGGTGTTTTAAAAAATATAAACTCTTAAGAACAGCTTATGAATCATAAGACCAAGTTTGAAAAACAGAAATTGTATTAACACCACCAGCAAGCACAGGGTCCTCTCAGTCTTCTGCCCTCCTATTTTGTGCAGGATGCAGACTCCCCAGTGTTGTACACATCATTTACAGTTATTAAAATCAGTCTGTATACAGGGTACCTATAGAGTAGTATTAAGCCCTGAAGAAGCACCAAGCAGTTTTATAGGCTTAACAATCCAGATCACAAGTTCTGAAGATAAAATAGATTCTATTTTGCCTTAATTTTTATTTTATTGGTACTGGAAATTGAACCCAGGGCGCTCCAGCACTGAGCTACATCATCAGCCCTTTTAATTGTTCTTATTTTATTTTGAGACAGGGTCTGGCTAAATTGCCCAGGCTGACCTCAGATGTCCAGCCTCTTAAGTTGCTGGGATTACCAAATTTAACTTTTTTTTTTTTTTGATGTAACGTGAAAGTATGTTTACAACTATCAGCTAATGGTAAACAAGTGCCTGAACATTCCCTTCTGTCACTCTGTGGACTGGCAATATATGACCTGGGAAGTCTGCCATCCTAATACTGGCAACAAAAGTCTGGTCATTTCGACCTCTTGTTTCTTGTTACTTGAGTAATTCTTGTGTTTCGGATTCCTTTGTGAGTCAGTCTTACCACGGTGTACTCTAGAATAGTTAAGGCAGAGCTAGAGTTAGAGTCTGGTATTTTATTTGTCCTTTTCCTTGAGGCACACTTGTACATAATGTCTGTTTATTCAGAAACCTGAGCTGCTCACTTGCCATGTGAGAACTGCTCAGTAAAGAAGAAAAACATGGCCAGGCGCAGTGGTGCACACCTGTAATCCCAGCGGCTCAGAGGCTGAGGCAGGAGGATCACAAGTTCAAAGCCTTAGCAAAATTGAGTTGCTAAGCAGCTCAGGCCCTGTCTCTGAATAAAATACAAAATAGGGCGAGTGATGTCGTTCAGTGATTAAACACCCCTGGGTTCAATCCCTGGTACCAAAACAAACAAAAAACATACAGTATTCAGATATGACCTGCATAGCCAAACAGTCCCAGCCACTCGGGAGACTAAGGCAGGAGGATCCCTTGAGCCCAGGAGTTTGAGGTCAGCCTAGGAAACATAGTGAGACCCAGTCTCCAAAAAGAAATGTTACATGGATGGATGACTTAGTCAAGTAAGAGTAATGGAAATTGAGAAATCCTATAAGTTAACTGACAATGAAAGCATGGCATTCCAAAATTTGAGATGCAGCTGAAGTTCTACTTTCAGGTAAATACATGGTCTTAAATGTCTTCTTTCAAAAAAATGTGGACGTGCCAAACATAGTGAAGTACACCTGCAAGTTCCAGCTACTCGGGAGGCTGGGCAGGAGGACTGCAAGTTCAAGAACAGCCTGGGCATCTTAGCAAGCCCCTGTCTTAGAAATTAAAAGCGCTGAATGGCAGAACCATTGCACAGCATGCCTGAGACTCTTGGTTCAATCCAAGAAATCTAAAATGCCATCAGAGGAACCAATTGGAGAGAAAATGTTGCATGGGTGGTTATCAAGAGTTCATAAAGGAAGAAGTCATGCATGCACTGTAGTGGAAAGAGGTCTAGACCAGAATTGGGTTCTGTGGCAAGTACAAAGAATGGTGCGTTCAAAGAATAAAGAAAGAATTGAAGAATATGATAAAAAGTCATTCATCCTTGAATGTGCCCTATTAAATCAATCCAGGT